AACAAGTTGACGCCAGAAAGTGACAAGCGATCTCTCAGTAAATAATGATTTCATAGAAGAAACTAAAACCTTTATCATTTTAACCCCCAGAAAAAACGTTTAAACTTGATCAGGCTGATCATGCTTTTATATACTTGTAATTAATTTGCATTACGACTATTGTTCTTAAAAACAAAATTCTAGGGAAATAAGATACATGCATTCATCATAAATCTATTAGGGTTTTGTGAGGTCCCATGTGGCGGGCTTCAAATTAAGACTGTTACATTTAATTCATTATGGCTATAATTGTATGCTATTTTATAGTCTCGACGAAAAAAAAAAGAATGCTTAGGTCCAAGATAATAAGCGTTTTCGTGACATGAATCAGGCGTATCACGAATGGCCTGCATGATGAGATAGAGAGATATACTACTCCAAGTTTGAGTGTATTTTAGTGGGAGATAAGAGCTTTTACTACAATGTGCTCGAGTACTAGCTAGAAGTGGGTAGGAGTAGTAGATTGCACAGAGTACGAAATCCGAAGCTCGTGGAGGACTTATATAGTAATATTAATGCTCTTGAACAGAAAGGCAATTAAATAAAGACGTAAGAGATTAAAAGAAAAAAAGAGATAAAAAAAAAGGAGTGCATGTTCCATTAATGAGAGGCAGATGGGGTAGTTGATATGCTATTTTGGTTGGACATTGATTTGTTTTTATCCAAAATAACGATTATTACTTACATTAGTGATTGCTCAAATTAGTAATTGCTAATAGATGTGTCTTGTGAGTTGTGACATTGTTTAAGGACTAAGTTAATTTTTGTTTGGTTTATCTCTTCTTGACTCTTTAGTTAATTGTCTCCGACTCCAAAAGAAAAGGGACTGTACTTATGTAATACTATTTGATACATAACCATAGATTTTAGTTATCTTAATCCATTAACATATGGGTCCGCGGTTTGGTTTTGGTTTTCATTTTACATCTTTAGAAATTGGTTAATCTACGCATTTTTTAGTTGAGTCTAACTTGGTGTAGTTTTGGTGTGTGCGCAATTTATATATAAATTAACTATACCTCATAGCCGGAAATAAACTAGACATATAGTTCTTAGAATATATGTACTTTCTTAAGAATTATAAACACAAGAAACCTATATAGCACTTAAGTATATGCAAGAGTTAACCGTATATATAAAAAGTAATTTGGAGTGGAGAAAACTGACCTCCATTGAGCCAAAGAAGAAGGGGCTTGGTTTGGGGAGAAGGAGAAGATGACTCCGTAAGCCAATAAAAGAGAGCACGACCATGAGACTCGTTAACATTGACATAGCCTGAGTATTGTGAGAATGCCACTTTTGGTTGCCCTGGAAGTGTTTTGATTCTGTCCTTCTCTTGCTCTCTTGAAGATGATGATGATGGAAGTGTTGTCGATAAAAGAGCTACAAGAAGAAGGAAACTGAGATGGATTCTTGCCATTTCGTGTCCTCTCATACACTGTCTACACTTTTTTCTTCAATGGTTTATTGTGTGTGTGTTAGGTCATGTATTATATGGAGATGTATATTTGTATTTATGTATGTATATATATGTGTGTGAATGTAAAGAGAAGTATAGATTGATGGATGGGGTTTTGGAGGTTCTTATTTAATGTGTGTTTTGCTGAGTTACTACACAATGTGCAGGTTGGCCAGCTGTGAGTGGACCTTTCTCATTCTCTCTCTATGTTAATGTATTTATTGGCATATATGTTGAGTATTTATAGGTGTACTATTCTTGTTTACAACATTCACATATACTAGTTTTGATGAAAATACTATATGTAAATGGTTGGGCTTATATTTATTAGTTGTGGTGTTGCTTCTCCAACATAGAATTGTGTCGCGGCAAATGCGGTGAAAGTGAAAATGTCATTATTTCGGCTCCAAAAACACATAAGAAAAAGAAAATTTGGTCGTGTATGTAATTTGAATCAGTTAACTAGCTATTAACAAAATAAAAATTTTTTAACAACTTGGCACGTGGAACCGTATGTTCTATGCATAGTCCGCATTAACCACACTCATGTATACTCTACAACTATTGTTCAGATTTTAAAATATGTTGTAAAATTTGATACAATGTATATATGCATATGTCACCAATTACGTTTTTTTTTGTGTTTATACACAGAATAGATACTACATTGCTAATATTTGAAGGCAAATGTGGATCTTGAATCAGAAGAAGATATAATTTAGGATCAGAAGAGAAATAAAGCCATAAATGCAATATTGCACAATGATTACTTTATCTTATTCTCTCATCCTCTAATATGCATGTTAATGCTATATGCTAACAAAAAAATGCATATTCTTCAATATTTACATGGTTAATTAGGCGTTTCTGATGACAAATAATCATTCCTATTTATTCATATATCACACATTTCTCTCAACATAAACTTTTAGGGTGATTTTTTGGAAATCATTTGACTGTCTTGATTATAATGAAGACATAATATAACCATAAATGCTGATTGGTGATCAACTAGGTGACATTAAAGTCAAAAACTCTGTAGCACGTTTGTTCGTGATAAACCAAACAAAAGAAAAAAACAAATAAACTGCATTTATTTAGTCCAAAGAAGTATAAACAAAATAAAATAAAAGGAAAAATATAGAAAGAAAGGTGTAGTTACCACAAGATAACCAAAGAAACAAACAAACCGAAAATTTGACTATATTATTTTGTATATATCACATCTAATTTTGTTTCATACCGCATGTTTTCATTAGGAACTTTAGTGAGTGGTTATTCAGCTGACAACATATATGGTTTAAATAAAATATATAGTTCGACTACTATAGTAATATTTTAGATAGACAAAAAAATAACATTAATTTTTTTCAAATTTAAAAAAGATCAAATTTACTTAAAATTTGCAATGTACTACAACACAATTGACAATTTAAAATGGAGACGTAAGATGTAGGACACCTAAATTTGCATATATGTACTATTCTGTATATATCATATCTAAATTTGTTCCTCACCATGTTTCTATTTGGTGTTTTAGTGGTTATTGAGCTGAAAATATATAAAGATTTTCTTTGGACGATAACATTATTACTAGTATAAAAACCATATGTATTGGTCAAACGAAGCTTCATAGCTTTTGTCATATTTTGAGAGTTTTATTCAATATTCATAATCCGAGTTGTGGTCAACACAAGTTGTTAAGCATCACTTCTCCACCAGACCAATTAAAACTTCTTTATTCATCCAATAATCAAATCTTCTGATAACTAGTATATAAAAGTTATAAACTTAAATAGTTCTCCATCTGTTATGAAATGTTACCAAGAGACTATTACTAACAGTAACATTGCAAAGGCTTTCAATTGCGTTGTGTCGTAAAAAATGATAGGTCCAAATCGGTGCCCAAAAAGCTGGTAGACCATGTCGGATATAAGTAAATATATTTCTCAGAAGAATGAAAATACTTGTAATTTTCTTCACCTTTTTTTCTTCTTATAATTGAAGTTTGCATTCAGCTGATGATATGACTTCAGATTGTCATTGTATTGGTTTTACAAATGCTTTTAAAAAGTGAAATTTTGAAGTTAGTGCAGATAAAACTAAAATTTTCCAGATAAATTATACAAAACGTATGAGTAGATTGATTCCAAATACAATTCTTGTGCTTTATAAAAACAACTACAATTATTGTTTATATATTTTTACTAACTATTTATGTGTATATATAACAAATAAACACATTCACATATAAATATAGTGAATGTTTGTCTCTTCAAAATTTAAAGTTGTGATTTGTTTGGCTTCAAACGGATGTTTATCATTAGTTTTCATTTGTTCCGTAAATTTATTTCTCTCTTTAACGATGTTCAAAAACTCGGAAACGATAATTTATAAAATCTTTTATATGCATTTAAAGTTATAGATGAGTTTGATTATGCTATAAGTGCGCACCACAAGTGTATCTATGAAACAATGGGGATTGCGACCCTAATTGTATTCCTAACAAGTAGACCTTTAACCATCGAAGTCAAAACAATAAAAAGTGTTAAGCGTAATGATCGGCAGATCCGAAGGAATTGCGATCATTCATTAATGGTTGAATTTCATTTAACATGCACGATCTATTTTTGGGGATTTGAAGCAAATTCACGTTTGGAAAGCATTGATATATTTAATTTAGTTAATAAACCACGGTGGATTATAAGATTTAACGAAACCAGGTAATAGGCGTCGTTGACAGGTTATATGGAGTGTTTGTAAATTATCCAAAATCATTGCAACTTGTGCTATATGGATGGACCCAATCTTCCATGCTAAGTTGTTGTTACATATAAAACTACAATAGTTGAATCAGGCCTTTCTAAAGCCCATGGGCTTTTTAAAGTGAACAATAAATGGAGAAATGTTCAGAAGCTATACGAATCCACATTATTTATTCATACACGAGTTTCTCCTTTCTCTCCTCACCAACATGATTTAATAAACTTAACACAATCGCAAACCATATAAACCACATAAGAAAGTGATTCGAATTATCATTTGTATCTAATGAAATTGGAATGCTATCCTAATATAGCTAATTAAGTAGCTGAAGCTTATTTTTTTTAGTGAAGGCAAGAGCTAACATTAAAACAAACGCAGCGTTTAAAAAGTTGCCGCATTGGAATATCTTGTGCGTGTCGTTAGTCAATGGGACATCAAATATTCATTATTCACCGTCCATGACTCGTCTCCCACCTGCTTCCTTCCACGAACCAAACTTGGTTTCACTTTCTTTTTTAATTTATTAATGTTTTCTTACTTATACAAAATTTAGCTAATTTCAGATTTGCTTTTTTTTGTTTAAATGAATTGCCGAAAAGGAAAGAAATCCCAAAGAAGATAAAATTAATAAATTTCTACGGACTCTTGACCAAAATAAAATTCTCCTCACCCTGAAAAAAAAGAATTTATTCTAAACCCTCCTATATATATACCAAGGAATCAATAGAGGATCATAATTTTCACAATTCTTTTTTTCTCTTTCTCTCGTCGTTTATATATTTTTATTTTATTTTCGTTTGGGGCAATTGTAATCTAGAGAAACGACAGGAACCAAGGTTTGAATCCTCTCCTCGAACTCTACGATTCTCTCAATCTCTTCTCCTTGCTGTTGTTGTTGTTGTCGGATATTGAATTTTCGGATATGAAACTCGAGATCCGTGTTCTGTTTTGTTTCCTTCGGATTCAAAACGATTATGTGTACATTCTCATGATCTTCAATTGGCAATTCTGATCGGTTTCTCTCTAGGATTCGTTGTTTGCGTTTCCTGATCCGTTTAATTTGATAGCTTCTTCAACTAAATCTGCAATTTATGCTTATGGATTTACTTAGCTTTAGAAATTGGATGATTTACGTGTTGATTTGATTCAATTCATTCAATTTAAAGGTTTATCCATGTGATTTGATTTGAAAGATGAAATATATATATTTTTTTTAATTCAGGGTAACGAAATTGAAGATCGAAGATGTTAGAACAGCTATTAATCTTTACCCGAGGAGGATTAATCCTTTGGACATGCAAAGAGATTGGTAATGCTCTGAAAGGATCACCTATCGACACTTTGATCCGGTCTTGTCTCCTTGAGGAACGATCTGGTGCTGTTTCGTTTAACTACGATGCTCCTGGTGCTGCCTACACTCTCAAGTGGACGTTTCACAATGATCTTGGACTTGTCTTTGTCGCTGTTTATCAGCGGATTCTCCACTTGCTTTATGTTGATGATTTGCTTTCTATGGTGAAGCAAAGCTTCTCTGAGATCTATGATCCTAAACGGATGGCTTATGATGATTTCGATGAGACTTTTAGGCAGCTTAGGATTGAAGCTGAAGCTAGGGCTGAGGAATTGAGAAAGACTAAGCAAGTTGGAAAGCCTGTGAGTAGTGTTAAGAAGCAAGGGCAGGTCTCAAAACCTGGACTTGAAGGAGGAAACAAAAGGGTTAGTGAAGGTGGCTCGAAGAAAGATGATGGTGATGGTAATAAGGCCAAAGTTAGTACCTTGACTAATGGTCATTCTAATGGGAATCATCAAATGGAAGATGATTCTCAGGAGACTGATCTTGCTAACGGGAAAGAAAACACGAGTTCTAATGTTGCTGTTGATTTAAGTAAACTTCAGAAACTAAGAAGTAAAGGAGTAAGAGGTAGAGGAGGTGTAAGGAAAACTGACAGTATAGGTAATAAGAGTTCCAAGGTTGCTGCTGCGGAGCCAGCCAAAAAGGCGACAAAGAAAAACAGGGTTTGGGATGATGCGGCTCCCAAACAATCGAAATTGGACTTCACGGATTCCGTCGATGAAAATGGGAACAATGATCATGTAGATATTGTGGCTGCTGACCAAGGCGAAAGTATGATGGACAAGGAAGAGGTTTTCAGCAGTGATAGTGAAAGTGAAGATGATGACGAACCAGGAAGTGATGAGAAGCCTGCTGAGGCTAAGAAAAAGGGGTGGTTTTCTTCTGTTTTCCAGAGGTTAGCATTTTTCTTGTTGAATGATGATAATGTATGTATAACCTAAAATTTATGAACACATCCTTTGATTTTGTGTTTAGTATTACTGGGAAAGCGAATCTTGAAAGGACAGACCTCGGACCGGCGTTGAAGGCTCTGAAGGAACGGCTCATGACCAAGAATGTGGTATGTGTCTGTCTACAGAGTGCATCATGTCTTATGTTTGGAATTTATTATATGTCTTAGTTGAGCATGGGCGTTTCATTTGCAGGCTGAAGAGATTGCTGAGAAGCTTTGTGAATCAGTGGAAGCTAGTCTTGAAGGAAAGAAGTTGTCATCTTTCACCAGGATCTCTTCAACTGTTCAGGTTTTGTGTTTTGTCCCTGTAGCTCTTAACTGAATCTAGGAAACATTTCACTCTGCAATTTGAAGATGGGCTTAATTGTGGTGAAACATATGATTTCAGGCAGCGATGGAGGATGCTCTGGTTCGTATATTGACTCCGAGACGCTCCATTGACATATTGAGAGATGTTCATGCTGCCAAAGAACAGAGGAAACCTTATGTGGTTGTGTTTGTTGGAGTCAATGGAGTTGGGAAATCCACCAATCTGGCCAAAGTGGCGTATTGGCTTCAGCAGCATAAGGTCAGTGTAATGATGGCTGCTTGTGACACATTCCGTTCTGGAGCTGTTGAGCAGTTACGGACTCATGCTCGTAGGTTACAGGTAATGTGTTTTAATGTTCAGATAATCGTGTGCTTTAAAATGGTGGTGTTGTTAATACTGATTTTTAATGGGGTGGTGGGATTTTGTCAACAGATACCGATATTTGAAAAGGGTTATGAAAAGGATCCAGCTGTAGTTGCTAAAGAAGCCATACAAGAAGCAACTCGAAATGGATCCGATGTTGTTCTTGTTGACACAGCTGGTCGGATGCAGGATAATGAACCTTTGATGAGAGCACTCTCAAAGCTCATCAACCTTAATCAGCCAGACTTGGTCTTGTTTGTTGGGGAAGCTCTTGTTGGAAACGATGCAGTAGACCAGCTCTCAAAGTTTAATCAGGTTCGTTTTCTTACCCGCACTAGACTCTTCTTAGGTGTTCAGTTGAGCCTTATTGACGTTGCTTTTTCTGAAATTCAGAAACTTTCGGATCTCTCGACTTCTGGGAACCCAAGACTGATCGATGGAATCTTACTGACAAAGTTCGATACCATTGACGACAAGGTACAGTAAATAAAAAATGATAGTTGGATTTAGTGTTGGTTTGATCATATAAATGAATGTAAACGAGTATGTTTGGGATCGTTTTGCAGGTTGGAGCAGCGTTATCTATGGTTTACATATCGGGATCACCGGTTATGTTCGTGGGTTGTGGCCAGTCTTACACTGACCTGAAGAAGCTTAATGTCAAAGCCATAGTGAAGACACTTCTCAAGTGATCTCCTCTTCATCATCATCATCATCATCATCACTATCATCATTACCATCTACTATCAACAATCAATGTCTTATCCATCATGCTGTTGTTTTTGGTTTTTGATTTGAAGACGGTTTCTCTTTGGAAGTGTTGTGTTTTCTTTAAAACTCAGAAGACTGGAGTCTCAAAAAATACCATCCCATGACTTTATATGATGCAACTTTTGTTTTGAATTAAAGACTAATAATCATGTGAAATCGTGGCATCTTCTTTTTTTTTTTTATATATAAATAATTATAACCAAATGAAGATTGAATTTAGCATAAATTAAAATTGAATCTCATCACCTAAGTTTTCAACTTATATAAGCAAAGTGAGGTCATTAATTTATGATATACTAATATAATTTCGTCTGCTGATAAAAATGAAAGAATAATCTTTTGTCTGAAGACATCTTTTTGTGTGTTTGAAAATATAGAACTGAGAATAAAAATAAGATTATTGTTTTGAGCAAAAAACGTAATCTGTAACTACTAACTAGTACGTTCAGAGACAAACAAAAAAAACATATTAATCCATATGAAACGTTATTTAGTGGTAAATCTAGCCATCTTAATTATCATAGATCTTTTACGAATCAATTGAAATAATGTCGCTCTGCCCATTAATAGCCATTAAAATGTTTTGTTCCCGACCACAACGGTTCGTGAGTAAAAAAATTATAGCACCGGAAATTTTCATGCCTAACGTAAAAAAAAAGTACCGTTGTCGTAGACATCGTTTTTGCTTTTAAGAAAATTGATAGTCCGTTACGTTACATTTTTAAAATTACGTGCTTTTCTACTATCGGACCAGTCTTTGTGTAATCGTTTGACACATTTTCAAATTATAAAAAGTCATTTTGATTCAAAGATTAGTCTTTTATTTCATAAGATAGAAAATAAAGAATTAGTATCTTGAATACTATGAACTAGTTATTTTTTTTTTCTTCAAAAGGATCAAAACAAAAATTACGATCAACTCATTCAATAGTTTTTTTTTGTGATTTTAAACATAGTTGAGTACTGTATAACAACATTAAATAGTAAAAATAATATTGTTTTACTAAAAAATCCTATTGATCGGATAAAAAAGGAACAAAATAACGTATTTAACCATGAAAACAAATTGACAAGGAAAACGAGAAAACCAAAAAATATCTCGTATTCAACTCTTCCTATTTGTAAATTGGGAAATTATATTCTTAAGTTTCAATGTTTTTCCCAAACTGACTACTTTACGTTTATTTGATTTCAGAACTACTATTCGAAATATTTTTTCAATATTTTAGAAAATTATAGCAGAAATATGTGAGATAATTTATTAGTTAATTAAACATATATCAAAAGTTAGTTTATTTTTTAAAAATAAAGTAGTCTGGAAATCAAATCTATATTTAACGTAGACAACTCATAGCAATTTATTAAAAATCAAACCAAAGATTTTGTTTTTATTTTAAACTGAAACATATTGGTTTTGTAAAAAAAAAAGTGAACAAAAACGGACATTTATTTAGCAAATCAGAGAGAGATTACACTTTAATACTCGGTTAGGATATCCCAAACCTAGCTCCGAACCCACAAAAACACGATTTAGCTCCAAACCAAAATGACTATATAAACACCACTCACCATCTCATACTTTCTTCACATATTGAGCAATACAAAAATAAACGAGAGACAAAACTCAAACCAAAAACAAAACAAAAGCCAAGAGTTGTTTGTAGTAAGAAAAAGTCCAAAAAATGGGAATCATAGTTCCAGTTTTGACCCTTGTCTTCCTCTTGTTTACTAAAGTGAGCCATGGTGCCTCCAATCCTAGGGTGATTTTGGTCGGTGGATCTGTGGGATCTTGGAAGGTTCCTGATTCTCCCAACAACACTCTCAATCACTGGGCCGAGAACAATCGTTTCAAAGTCGGCGACTTCATCGGTACCCTATCTCTTCATTTCTGATATATTATGCTTTGATTCTATTGTGATCATATGTTCATAAAAACTATATATATGCATGGTCGAATATTTGATAAATTTTTGCTGTGCATGTGGAATAGTGTGGAAGTACGACATGAAAGTAGATTCGGTACTACAAGTGACAAAAGAAGATTACGAGAGCTGTAACACAGCAAATCCCTTGAAGCAATATAATGATGGAGACACTAAGGTTGAGCTTGACAAATCTGGCCCTTATTTCTTCATTAGTGGTGCTCCTGGTAACTGCGCTAAAGGCGAAAAGATTACCCTTGTTGTTTTGGCTGAACGCAAATCCGGTGGTGGTGGCGCTCCTCAGGTTTCTCCTGATACGGCTCAAACTCCAGCTCCAGCTCCAGCTCCAGGTGCCGCTCATAACGCTGCGGCTGGATTGAAGGTTGGAAGCGGTTGGTTCTTGACCGCAGTCGTGATTGGTTTGGCCATGGCTTAGAGGGGTTGATCGAGAGAATGTAGTTTTTATTGAGTTCACTTTTTAGCAAGATTTAGTTTTTATTTTTCCAGATTGTTCAAGTTTCTTTTGTTCCCTTAGTTTTTCATCATAAAAGATCTGTCTTTCTGTTTTGTGTTATGTGTTTGGGATATTATATTCGCTCTCAAAGCTTATAATCTATAGTTTGTTCTTGCCATTTGAATCTAAAATTTTAGAACGTCAACAAGGCAAGTAAATATTTTCATTTTTCTACGAGATTTGTTGACTCAATAATTAATACACAGAGATTTAGACCACTCTATATTAATGGTAATAGGATCCATTTTTAGAAACTAAATCTATTTATCTACCAAAATGACCGTTGTGAAAGTGGTAACTAAAAAACAAAGCTATATATGGCGTCCAAGAGATTCTTTTTTCTCTAATATAAAAGGGAATATCTATGCTACGTTATGGAAACTACATTTCGAAATTTGTCTTGCATGTATTGATATTCTCAGATTGTCCTTTAATTTTGTTGGTAACGCCAATAGTATGTGCTAATTAATAAGATGAGGCCAAGTGGATAATGTGCTATCCAATTCCATTACTTACACATAGATCTTTGACTTTTAACTAATCTATCGTTACTAGTAATTACTAAAAATTATAGTAATTCAAATACCCGTTTCACTTTAAAATTTCATGTTACCGTTTCTGAATCAAATTAAATTACGCATTTACTCTAACAACCATTTTCATGTAGCAGGTTAAATTCTAAGAATTGCATGTACTACAAAGTAGTGAATTTACTAAAGAGAATCTTGTTTCGTTTTCAAAATTTTAAAATTTGGTTTAGATCCAGATTTGGGATAAATGTAAACAAATGTAATGCAATGTTGAAAAACAGTGATGAATGGATTTAGCGATTAATTTAACGTATTTTAGTTCTTTCAAAATGTAATTTAACGTAAATGCTTAAGTTTGATGATGGGTCACTTAAAGACCATTAGCCCAAATGGGCCATTGTTCAGTGACTTCAAAAGGCCTTAACAATATTTTGCTGACTTCACCTACAAAACGGCACGCAGTCTATATCACAAACAGGAGAATGCAATCCGCCGCTTTTTCGATGTAAAACGACACACACTTGGTGATTAGAAATCGAAAACAGTAGAACAACGAACCCCTGAGATAAGCCTGAAGAAGATGACAGAGATAACACATGAGCAAATCTCACGCATGTTTTTGCTCCAGATTCCGCCATGGATGTCGCTTCTGCTCGGAGCATCTCTTCACATCCTTCATGTAATAGCCACTTTCGTATTCTAGCTTATTTTTGTGAATACATTGACTTTTATTTCTTTGGGATAACTTTTTGTTCTGAATTATGTTCTCAGATTATGGAAAACCAATTTGTTCATCGCAATCATCGTTGATTCGGGTAAATTTTCGTTTTGTTTGGATTCTTTACTCTTTAGTGATTGATTCGTCTTCTGGAACGTGAAAGGTATTGTGCAATGGAAGCTTAATTAGGATTTTAATTAAGTGAAGTAGCAAGTTTTTAGTTATTTTCATTGTCAAATCTCAACATTACATTAATACTTCTGTTGAGATTTTGGTGTGGATTTGGATTGTTGTACTTAGTTGAAACAATGAACATGAAGCTCTTATACTATCTTCAAATTGTTCTTATTTTATGAAATCATTGGAGATGCAGATTTCGAGGGATAAAGTATGTTGCTTTGCTCGTATTTCTAATGGCACAGCGAGCTTTAGTACTTCCCTTCATGGTAAGGCTATGAAACTATAGTTTTATTGATCTCTTGTTGCTGATATATTTTCAATCACTCTTTTTTATATCTAAATCATTTCTTGCTTTCCTTTCCATGTTTTTCTTTTTTAGCTCTCCCGAGTGGAAAGTTTATGGGCGAAACAAGAAGTACTGGCATTCAATGGTGTAGCCGCTCTTTAAGATGGGATCCTTACAGATTTCATGATAAGAAATCACATAGATTAAGTGAATTGGCAAGAAATATCACTGTGAGATCAGATCTTTCGGGAGCTGCAACCCCTGAATCTTCTTTTCCCGAACCAGGTTTTCTTTTGGCTAAACCTTTGTGAACAAATAAATTGCAACTTTGTTTCTGTCTCTATACACAATTCTTTCTTGTTATTTCAACTTTGAAGTGCAGAGATTAAGTTGAGCTCAAGACTCAGAGGGATATGCTTTTGTGTTGTTGCTGCCATTTCTGCCACTTTTCTCATAGTCCTGATGATAATTGGGCATCCGTTCGTCCTTCTCTTCGATCCCTATAGGAGAAAATTCCATCACTTTATTGCTAAACTTTGGGCTTCCATAAGCATTTATCCGTTTTACAAAATCAACATCGAGGGTTTGGAGAATCTGCCGTCATCAGACACTCCTGCTGTATATGTTTCAAACCACCAAAGTTTTCTGGATATCTACACACTTCTCAGTCTTGGAAAAAGCTTTAAGTTCATCAGCAAGACAGGGATATTCGTAATTCCCATTATCGGTTGGGCCATGTACATGATGGGTGTCGTTCCCTTGAAGCGGATGGACCCAAGAAGTCAAGTGGTATGTTACTCTTTGTTTCTCCCACATTTTTCAAGTGTTTGTTAAGCAGATGGACACTTTTAACTCTTGTGCAAATTATAGGATTGCTTAAAACGCTGCATGGAACTCTTAAAGAAGGGAGCATCTGTGTTTTTCTTCCCAGAAGGAACACGGAGTAAGGATGGTCGGTTAGGTCCTTTCAAGGTAAACACAATCTCAAGATTCTTCTTGATCATATTTTTGGTCTGTAAGTTAACATAAGAGGCTTGTGATATTACAGAAAGGCGCATTTACAGTGGCTGCTAAGACGGGAGTTGCAGTAGTTCCAATAACGCTAATGGGAACAGGCAAAATTATGCCAACAGGTAGTGAAGGTATACTGAACCATGGGAATGTGAGAGTGATCATCCATAAGCCAATACACGGAAGCAAAGCGGATGTTCTTTGCAACGAAGCGAGAAGCAAGATTGCGGAATCTATGGATCTCTTTAGCTGATCTCAGACGTTGTTTTTGCAGCGTCTCTGATGAACAATGAGAAGCTATAATTTTTACATGTGGAAGAATTAAATATGTTGAGAATTTTTTTTAGTCAAAATTCTGATGCTCCCTTAATGACATTTAAAAGAAAATATCAGTTTTTGGTTTAATATTAAATTTTGTCAGATTTTTGTATATTGCTGTTTATTTTATTGTATCTCGTGCGTATCAGTCTTGGCCGCATTGTCACGCCTCCCAGGAAACAGAGTCCTTCCCGATTCCAATTATAGTCCCAGAAGAAGACTTGTCCTTCCATATTTCAAATTTCATGTGAGTATTATTGGATCTCTTCGAAGAAGGCTTTGAATTGTGTAATTTCGGTTTGTTGAATGTATTGAGTTGATTCAGAGATTCCTTAGTGTGATTAGAGAAACTGAAGTAATATATACTGAAATAGTGTTGTGCTAGTAATACTTGTTGATTCTCTCATGTATTCAGATTACAGTAGATCATCTGATTATATTTGTGGAGAATGAAGGCTCTTATCCTCGTTGGAGGCTTCGGGACCAGATTGAGACCACTTACCTTGACCATGCCTAAACCGCTTGTTGATTTTGGAAACAAACCTATGATTTTGCATCAGGTAGGTTATAGCTTCTTCTTCTTTTTGTATTTGCTCAAGTTTTGGCAGTTTCCTCTGTGTTCTCATTATGATGCATTCGCAGATTGAAGCTCTAAAAGCTGCTGGAGTGACTGAAGTTGTATTAGCTATCAATCACCAACAACCAGAGGTACATACATACATTGTCCTTACTCCTTAATAATATCAATATATAATTGATGATTTCCCATGAAATTACTCATCCTCATTGTGTTTGTTTTGGTATTTCTCAGGTCATGGTGAATTTTGTGAAAGAATATGAGAAGAAGCTAGAGATTAAGATTACATTTTCCCAGGAAACTGAACCGCTTGGGACAGCAGGGCCTCTCGCGCTGGCTCGGGATATGCTGGTCGATGAATCAGGCCAACCCTTTTTTGTACTTAACAGCGATGTTATATGCGAATACCCTTTGCTTGAAATGATCGAATTTCACAAGACTAACTGCGCTGAAGCTTCAATTATGGTGACCAAGGTAATAAAAAAAAGAGCATTTTCTGCATTTTGTAAAGTTGAATCATTCATCTGTTAATAGCATTTTCTGATATTAACAGGTTGATGATCCTTCCAAGTATGGTGTGGTGGTTACGGAGGAAGGTACAGCGAGAGTTGAAAGTTTTGTAGAGAAACCGGAACATTTTGTGGGGAACAAGATTAACGCTGGGATATACCTCTTGAACCCATCTGTTCTCGACAGGATTGAGCTGAGACGGACTTCCATAGAGAAAGAGATATTCCCTAAGATAGCTTCAGAGAAGAAGCTTTACGCGATGGTACTACCTGGTTTTTGGATGGACATTGGTCAACCGAAAGATTACATAACCGGGCAAAGAATGTACCTTAACTCTCTAAGAGAGAAAGCTTCGCAAGAATTGGCTACAGGGAATAACATAATTGGAAATGTGCTCGTAGACAAAAGTGCGGTTATAGGAGATGGTTGCTTGATAGGACCTGATGTGGTGATCGGTCCGGGATGTGTGATTGATTCAGGTGTAAGATTGTTTGGTTGTACTGTCATGCGCAGTGTTTGGATCAAGGAACATGCGTGCATCTCTAATAGTATCGTGGGATGGGACTCGACCGTTGGAAAATGGGCTCGGGTTGTTAACATAACGGTTCTTGGCAAAGATGTTAATGTCGCCGATGCAGAGGTTTACAACAGCGGGGTTGTTATCGAAGAGCAAGGTCTGCGAAACCCGAGCCTAGACAATAGAGTAGTTACAATTTAAAACATTGATAAACCAACGATCAAAATAGCATTAAACATATTCAGACATTAATCCTCTTTAACTCTATGATAAATCGGTTAAAAATGGTATTAGACTCCAATGAAGAACTTTTTCAGATCCATATCCCTAAGCAAGTTGTGTATTTTTCTTTCGTAAAAAAATTGAGACATTCTTATAAGAGATGTTTAAAATAATTATAGATAAGGCGTATGTTTAATAAACACCAAACTGTGATTTATTAATAGACTAAACAGTAGTTAGGTGTATGTAATGTTTAATTAACGTTGAGAAAAATGAAAGACGTGACGGCAGAAAGAGAGCGAGTGGACCCGACCCGGACGGCACGGAGACACTTTCAGTTTCTTCTTCTTCTTCTCTTCTGTCTTTGTTTGTGAAATAGTTCTCTCAAAATCAATATTTTTTTCATCTCTGAAACGACTTCGTCTCCTCCCACACCATTGTCACTTTCTTCTTCTTGTTCATCTTCACCCTTGTCGTCTCCGTCTGATTTTGGCTTGTAACTTCTTTCTACCGTACTTGTCTTTCTTCCTCTCTGGTATATCCTTACATTTCCTAATTTCTTAGCCAATTACTGTTTGGAATGATCTTAATTTTGTACTTGTCAATTCCTTGATTTTGGTTGACACTTTTGTCTTTTGAGATTGTCTCGTTTTGATGCTTAAACTCAAGTATTTAGTTTTTTGTTTGTACCCTTTTGTTGATGTTTTGGTTTGGGGGAGAAATGTGGTTCCTTTAAAGTTTTTTTCCGTTAATTTGAGTTCTCAGGTCAACGACAATGGATGAATGTTCTTAACCCATTAACCAAAAATGATTTTGAGAGAGATTCTGTAAAAAAGAGATCGCATTTTTGTTACTTGAGTTATTGCAGTTCTTATTGAATTTTGGTGCTTGAAATGATTTTGGATGATAATTATTTATTTTTCTTATTTGTGAAGACAGGTTTGGGATTCATGAGTTGAGTCACAAGGAAAAAGCATGTTAGACTGTGCCAAAAAAGCAGTGAAATCACAAGTAATCAGTGGCCATCTCGAGAAGTTTGTAAGGTAACTCTCATTATTGTCTATTTAACATGATGATAACATTTCAGCAGATTTAGATATTGTTTAGCCAAAAAGGCCATTCCTTTACTTCAGGTTTGAAACTAAATGGATATCTTTAGTTTATTTTGTTCTTCACAGGTTGGATAGTATGGATTCTAGGTACTCTCAGACTTCTGATGCTGGTCTAAACAGATGCACTCTCAACCTACAAGGACCAACACGTGGTGGTGCTCAGGGCAACAATGTATCTTCTGGTTCCTTTAAGAAAGGATTTAGAAAAGGGTCTAAAGGTCTTTGGTCTATAGGTAGATCAATTGGTTTGGGGGTTTCACGAGCAGTTTTTCCTGAAGATCTTAAAGCATCAGAGAAGAAGATTTTTGATCCACAAGACAAGTTTCTTTTGCTCTGCAACAAGCTGTTTGTTACTTCTTGCATTCTCGCTGTGTCCGTGGATCCGCTGTTCTTGTATCTTCCGTTTGTTAAGGATAATGAGAAATGTATCGGTATAGACCGGAGATTGGCTATCATAGCAACTACGCTGCGGACAGTGATCGATGCGTTTTATCTTTTTCATATGACTCTTCGGTTTAGGACAGCTTTTGTCGCCCCTTCTTCTCGGGTTTTTGGGCGAGGCGAACTTGTGATCGACCCTGCACAGATAGCAAAACGGTATTTGCAGCAGTATTTCATCATTGACTTTCTCTCTGTGCTTCCACTTCCACAGGTAATAACATAAATGCTCCCCTCAGTGTTCTCCTATTTTCCATTATTTTTTTTGTTCTCAAACTTTGGTGACGAGTTTAAGTTATTTACTGGTTTTTTTCAGATTGTAGTTTGGAGATTTATTGGCATCTCTGGAGGTGCAAGTGTGCTGGCAACAAAGCGGGCGTTGCGATCGATCATTTTACTTCAATATATTCCGAGATTCATTCGGCTGTATCCTTTGAGCTCAGAGTTAAAGAGAACAGCTGGTGTTTTTGCTGAAACTGCTTGGGCTGGTGCAGCTTATTACTTGCTACTCTACATGCTCGCAAGTCATGTCAGTACTTACTATTTTTGGTACCCTTTCCTCTTATATCCTCAAAAAACTCATTCATAACTCTCTTGTTTTGCCTTTATGTGTTTATCAGATTGTTGGGGCTTTATGGTACTTATTGGCTTTAGAACGCTATAATGGATGCTGGAGCAAGGCTTGCAGTAATAATAGCCTGGACTGTCAAAGAAACTTCCTCTTTTGTGGTAATGAAAATATGGATGGTTATGCAGCTTGGTCTAACATCAAAGATTCTGTTCTTCAAACAAATTGTCCAGTTAATACAACCGATAATCCTCCTTTTGATTTCGGAATCTACTTAAGAGCCCTGTCTTCTGGCATTGTCTCATCTAAGAGCTTTGTCTCTAAGTACTTCTTCTGTTTATGGTGGGGACTTCAGAATCTCAGGTACGTAATTCTAAAATCATTCGTCTTTTCTAATAGTGTCGTTATAATAAAAAGTCTCTGATGGATTATTAACCTCATTGATGTCAAATGCAGCACTCTTGGTCAAGGGCTTCAAACCAGTACATATCCTGGAGAGGTTATATTCTCCATAGCACTTGCTATTGCTGGACTTCTTCTCTTTGCTCTTCTTATTGGAAACATGCAGACTTATCTTCAATCCCTTACTATACGGCTTGAAGAAATGAGAGTGAAAAGACGCGACTCCGAACAGTGGATGCATCATCGAATGCTTCCACCGGAACTGCGGGAACGAGTCAGAAGATATGACCAGTACAAATGGTTGGAGACACGCGGAGTTGATGAAGAGAACTTGGTTCAGAATCTCCCAAAGGATCTGAGAAGAGATATCAAACGCCATCTCTGTCTGGCTTTGGTTCGGAGGGTAAGTTGAATCTTATTTTAAAAGCCTTTTTCTAATCTTGATTCATAAATGAAATCATCTTGTTATTTTTTTTTAATGGAAAGGTTCCATTGTTTGAGAATATGGATGAGAGGCTGCTCGATGCAATCTGTGAGCGGTTGAAGCCGTGTCTGTACACAGAGAGCTCTTATTTGGTTCGGGAAGGAGACCCGGTTAATGAGATGCTCTTCATTATCCGTGGTCGGCTTGAGAGTGTGACCACTGATGGCGGGAGAAGCGGTTTCTTCAACCGCAGTTTGCTAAAAGAAGGAGATTTCTGTGGGGAAGAGCTTTTGACATGGGCACTTGATCCCAAATCCGGTTCCAACCTACCGTCCTCTACCAGAACCGCAAAGGCTTTAACTGAAGTAGAGGCTTTCGCTTTAATAGCAGATGAGCTCAAATTTGTAGCTAGCCAGTTCAGGAGATTACACAGCAGGCAAGTTCAACACACATTCAGATTCTACTCACAACAATGGAGGACTTGGGCTGCTATTTTCATACAAGCCGCGTGGCGACGATACGTGAAGAAGAAGAAACTTGAGCAACTCAGGAAAGAAGAAGAAGAAGGAGAAGGATCAGTTACGAGCATCAGAGCGACGTTCCTGGCTTCAAAGTTTGCTGCAAATGCACTTCGTAAAGTTCACAAGAACCGTATTGAAGCAAAGTCTACTAAAGAACTTGTGAAATATCAGAAGCCTTCAGAACCTGATTTCTCTGCTGATGATCCTTCTTGACCAAATTTTACAGAAAGTATGAACGCTAATAACTTGTATAACTCAGATTGAATTTTATTGTTTGATTTGTGCTGCTACATTGAGGTAACGAAAAAGGTGGTAATATAAATGATTATTTGTGATTGTGATTGTTTTATGTGTTTCTTTCTGTTTGCTGAAGCTAAAATATGAAGGATATTGTAGGTTCATTGAGAGATGACATAGTTTTTGATAGGTTCATCAGAGATAGACATAGTTTGATAGCAAACTAAACTTGCTCGGATCATCAACCTTTGAGGAAGTTTTTGCAGAGCTTCTGCCATAGAATCCTGTCTGGTTGCGCAGTCTCCATTGTACTCTTTGCCTTATCCGCAAACTCTTGCTGAAACAAACCCATAAAAACTCAATCACATTGCAATTCTTGTTAAAGTTAACTACATTGAGGACATGAACAAGAACAAACCTCGATCAGTTTCATATTAAGAACACGGTCCACGATCTCAAACAGAATCTCTTTGTTATACTCAGGATGCCCTTGGATGCAGAAAAAATGATCTCCAATAGAAAACATCTCGACCTCGCAAACCTCAGAAGATGCAAGTAATGTAGCAGACTCAGGGAGTTCCAACACTTCATCCTGATGGCATTTTATAATAGCTAAAGATGCCGGTACCTCATCTCCAAAGTAACCGCGTAGTTTTTCATTGTCTTTCGCTATGTTTATGCTTCTAAGTCCCATGTCTGCACCTTTGAGTGCCCTTCCTATCTTCCCACCTTTGACCCTAGTAATTATCTGGCCACAAGAACAGAGACAATCCAGAACAAAAGAAACATTCATCAAGAAACACTCTCATCGATCAACAAGTGAAATGCTCAGTGATTCGATTACCAAAATTCAAGGTTTTTGACTTTACAATTCCTGATACAGAAGAACTCTACTAACTTTGACCTTTGAATCAAGCAAATGAGCTAAAATGTGATTCAATCTAAACCCTAAGAATTCCAACCAATCAGATCCAAATCAGAAATTGCAAGATTGAATTCAAAAGAACCTGGTGGCCGAAACAGATGCCGAGGACTTTCTTCTTCATGTCATCAAGTTTCTGACAAACCTCACAAAGCTTAACAATCCAATCAGCGTCTCCGAAAGCATCATGTGGACTACCACTGATAACGAAACCATCGTACTTGTCTAAATCCTTCTCGTCGGGAAAGTCGCCGTCGATGACTCGGAATAGATCCCATTGCTCACCTTCATCGCCGAAAGTCGAAACGAAGACATTGAAGTAACCACCGTAAGTCTTCTTCACGAACTCTGAATCACACGTCGCTAAAAACAAAGCAAACCTCTTCTTCTGCTCAACCACCACCATCTTCTTCTTCTCAGAGATTACGGAGAGAGAGAGAGATTCGGAGAATGGAAAATGTGGTTAGAGCGACGGAGAGAACACGATCAAACACGCCAAGTGAGATTTTTTTTTTTTTTTTTTTCGGTAGTGAGATGTTTGTTAAATAAAGAAACAGAAAAAAAGTCAAATATAAAGTTGGATAAAACGAGAGACTTCAATAGCTGTCTATAAGATGAGAACTCCACCGATTAATTGACCTTAGTTTTTTTTTTCTTTCTTTTTTTTAATTTAGCTAAGTTTAGAATCACATTTATAATTTACGTGTTTGGTGATTGGTGAAAGATCAAATCATATTTTGCTATATCAGTATATGTAAACCACTAAATTACAACAAATGGTTTTTTTGCTTACCGGTAATTTAGTTAAAAGTGAAGATATATGTTACATTATGTGATCACCATAAGTCCATGACCACCATATGATAGTTATGAAATTACACAAACGTAGTAGGATTTTTTTAATTTTTTAATTTTTTTTTAGTAGTAGTAGTAGACTAGTAGCAGTAGATTTATAAAAGACCATGAACGTGGAAATTAAACCAAGTGGGTTCTTCGCCCTTTGAGAAAATTCTTGCAAAGCATTTGTAAACGCTGCGTGTCTGGTTCAATCTTCTCGATCGAGTCCTTTGCTTTTTCCACAATTTCCTCCTACATATTTTTAGTTATTTTTTAAAGCATTCCTCATCTTTATCTACTACATAAATATATCATGAACAACGGAATCTAAGTGGGGTAGAAGAATATTTTCCCAAAGGTTTGGACATAAGACCGACCAATTAATCTATAATATGATCAAAACCAAAGATAGACATTTAAACGAACCTCAATAAATTTGATCTTGTGGACACGATCAATGATCTCAAGGAGAATCTCCTTGTTATACTCGGGATGACCTTGAAAGCAAAGCAAGTGATCTTCCACTGAGAATATCTCAACGTCGCACTTGTCCGAGAATCCAATGACTATGGCCGACTCAGGAGGCTCAAGTACTTCGTCTCGATGACATTGTATGATTGATAATGACTTGGTTTGATCGAAGTAACCACCCGGTTTGATCAAATCTTGAACGATCGTTATGTTACCCAGGCCTATGTCTGGTCCTCTACGAGCCCTTCCCACTTTCCCACCTCTTACTCTACATATTATCTATATCCAAAAACCAAAACAAAAATGTAATCAAGCTATATTGTTTTGACTTTTGAGGATTATTAACCACCATGTGTTATTTGTAGATGAAACTAATTCAACTAGCCACCTTCTATCGTTAAGGTAGGACTTTTATATACACATACATAGTTATTTCTTTAATAGATCTATATATATTTCCGTACGAAATAATTTATAAAGTATACTTCCAATATATCATTTCCATTTTATGTTATAATAACATTTTCAATTTTTAAAACATGATGTTTGGTGGAGGATCACTTGCTTTGCTTTCTAATAAGGCATGATAATTCTTATGTTAATTATGCAGTATTATTTTCAAATTTTTATATTAATTACTTTGAATAAAATTAACTAGATTCATCTAGCCTAGCACTAGTCTACAACATAGCTTATGAAGTTAGGCAAAACAGTATTCTGTATAACTTATAATTTTAAGAAAGAAAAAAACACACACATATATTATCCAAGCAGGCGATATTTTAAATAACAGAAGAAAAAAAAACATTATTAATATATCAAACCTGGTGACCAAAGCATATGCCAAGAATTTTCTTTTTCATCACATCAAGTTTTTGGCAAACAGAGCAAAGCTCAATGATCCAATCCTCTTCTGTGAAAGCGTCATGTAAACTCCCGCTAATGACGAATCCCTCATACTTCTCAAGATCATCGTCGCAAGGAAACTCGCCTTCGATCACACGGAAAAGATCCCATTGCTCTCCTTCGTCTCCGAAAGCCGACACAAATACGTTGAAGTAGCCTCCGTACATCTCCTTCACGAACTCAGAATCTGGCGTGGCCTGAAACAGAGCGTATCTTCTTATCTGCTTCACCATTGTGATAGGAAGATGGAGAGAGAGATAAAGATGTTATTGATGCATGATGAGAGGATTTGAGAGATGTGTTAGGGCATATATGTAGGAGTTGGAGCTAGACACTTTCGGTTTGGTCTAATAGAACCGGTTTTCGGTTTGGTCTGTTGAGCAAATTATATCTTGATTCGAAATCGCATGCATCTGCAGGACAAATTAACAATTAGGTTTCCGGTTTAGTATTGTTAGACCGGTTTAAATTATAAGATATGTGATTAGTTCGTTTCATTTTAATTCCCCACGTGTTTTTTTGGGCATTATATTTCATTGCGACGTGTATTTTGGCATTGATTCTTTGTGAATCATGCATAATCGTAAGTGGATTTGATCATTGATTCTTTGTACATTTTATGTGAATGAATAGCGCGCCTAATTATCGCCTAATATAAAAAAAATTCGGTCATGTATTAATTTCTTACGGTAACTGAAAAAAAACACGACTACGAAAAATCACATGTTAAGGAAAATTTACATGTTAAAGAAATAATTACATCACCAACTAATAAAAAAAAAATTTGTTTGATTCATTCTGAGCTGTTTTGGTCGCGGGGTAAATAACTCTCCTCTGGTCTTCAGAACAAGTTTTGGTCATTTTGGAATCATACTGAGCTGTTTCTTAAACAAAATTGTTTGATTCAATTGTGCTATATATCATAATCCTAATCAAATAAACGCACTTTTTGCTTCTTAATTAATATGAAGTAAAGGAGGAATCTCGTTCTAAAAATCCACTTTTGGTAATGGTGTAAGATTACACTCTAAAGAATTATTACCATGAGATTACAACTCTACACAAGCATAACTGCATAAGTAAAGAATCACATGACTTTTCAACAAAATGCAATATTCATAAATCAATTATTATCTAAAGAATTTGAAAGTAGAGGTTTCTTTATTACCATTTTATATTTGACAAATAACCGCAATTATGGTTTTAAATAACTTCGTTTCTTCTTATTCATTTATCATGGGTATAATAACACACAAATAAGTCACGCCCAGATTAATAGGTTATACATTAATCAGAAATAAAGCAAGATAATAAATCCATAAATATTGTTCCAATATGACAAGAGCCAACTTGATAATTTGGTTCTAAAACTAATTAGTTGGAACTCTGCCTTTGAGGAAGTTCTTGCAAATCGTTTCCCAAAGCTTCCTGTCTGCTTCCCTGTTCTCCATCGTTGCCTTAGCCGCATCAGCAAATTCTTGCTGCATATTTAATTTACAATTTCTTAGAAATATTATAGATTTTTAATTTTTCATTCGATTTATACCAGCAAGGCAACAACATGCCACATGCAAGTGATACTATGAGGTGTACTAAATTGAAGTGACTAACCAACAACATTCTAATTTATAATATTCTAATTCGATCCGGTGAATATTTAACCCAAAACCCACCCATATAGACTATATCCAAATTCTTATATATTTTCTTCTTCTGTAAATTAAGGGAAAAAGAGAAATAAACCAACCTTGACGAAGCCTTGAGCAAGAACACGATCAACAATCTCGAAGAGAATCTCTTTGTTATACTCAGGATGTCCTTGAATACAGAACAAATGATCCTCAATCGAGAACATCTCCACCTCGTAGTTGTTGGAATAAGCTAGCACTTTAGCAGTTTCCGGCAGCACCAACACTTCGTCCTGGTGACATTTGATGATTGCCATGCTGTCAGGAATCTCGTTTCCGAAGTAACTCCCAGGTGTAATCGCATCCTTCACGATGGTTATGTCTCCAAGTTTTAGTTCTGGTCCCTTTCTTGCTCTTCCAACTGTTCCTCCCCTTACCCTGGCTATGATCTAAAGGAAAATTCGTTTTCAACTAGAGGAATATTTTTTTATCAACAACATGCACTATGCGGTTTGAATCATTCAACACTAATACAAAGTTACAAAACCACAAAATCATTTTTTTTTGTCAAGTTGAAAATGACTCATTAATCTTAAGAAGATGCATTATACCAAATGAATACTCCACTAGTGAAGAATCCCTTGCTCTAATAGATCCTAATCTATTGTCATCCTTATTGAATACTCCACTAGCTAGTTCATCTATTAATTAATGACCCATTCAAACAAAAAAAATTAAACCAAGTTGTGTGATTTTATTTTTGTAAATTAAACCAAATTTAATTAGCAAAAAAATTCAAATATTTATATACGGACTAATAATAGATAAAAGAAAAGAACCTGATGACCAAAACAGATGCCAAGAATTTTCTTCTTCATCTCGTCGATTTTCTTGACGATATCACAGAGCTTAAGGATCCAATCATGATTCTCAAAGGCATCATGAGAGCTTCCACTGATAACGAAGCCATCGTACTTCTCAAGATCTTTCTCGTCAGGAAACTCACCGCTGACGACCCTAAATGAGTCCCAATGCTCTCCTTCGTCTCCGAAAGTTGTCACGAACACGTTGTGGTATCCTCCGTAAGTTTTCTTCACGAACTCTGAGTCCAAAGTCGCTAGAAACAGAGCGTATCTTTTTTGCTCCACCATTTTTTTTTTCTTCTGGCTAATGAAAACCACAAAGATTGATTGATTAGGAGAGAGATAGGGGAAAGAGAGCAGTGAAGAATAAACAACGTATGTATGTATGTATTTATATGAGATTGGATTTGGTCGACCTACCTACTGGTTTTTAATTTTTCACGTTTTATGTAACCGTTTTTTGTATATATTATAGTATTAATTTTGTTTTTTTTTTATTCACGAAAAACGTTAAGAGGAAAGCAGTGGACGGCAACCGTTGTTGACCATTCGTTGATTGATGTAGTTTGAACATGTATATCATTTATATCAATATTACATTATTGTCCACAATAATAAACAAATAATGGAATCACCTATCAAAAGCAATTAAAATGACGCGCATTTAGTTTACTAAAGTATTTCATATAACAACATTTACTTGTTTTTAATAGCTCAAAACTTTTCTTAAAATCTAGAGATCATTAGTTTTGTCATGACTAACGGAAAATACCTGAGAATGTATATATCATGTATTCATGTGATTTAAAAAATAATATTTAAACTAAAAACTTATAATTGGATAAAATTATAGTATATTTTACCTTTTAATATAAGTAAATAACCATCTTGAATATATTAATACAAGATTTAACACATACATTCTTCAATATATTAAAAATATATCTAGAATAAATTGTAGCATTTTTAAATGAGTAATTTTATGTAATTTTAGTTTATGAAACAATTAATAATGACCATTTTTATTCACCAAATCTGTTAAAAATTCTGATTAACTTTGAAAAACTAAATTTTTTTTACACAAAATCCTTAAAATCTGCGGTCTAGAAAAAAAGACAAACATAATAAAATTTTGTTATTAATGACTTTTCTTGACTACATGGGGAGTTAACTTTGGGATATTAAACTGGAATTTTGAAATCTTATTATCTATTGTTTGGTTGCACGCTTTTGACCGAGGATTGAAGTATCAAACTTAAGGAATAAATGCATCAACGACGTCACTTTGATTTTTTCAGTATCATCTCTTGACCAAAACCATTATATAACTCGTAGCTCGTAACTCGTAACTCGTAACTCGTAACTCGTAAGTAACGCCGGTTCGGTTTTTATACTTTTGCGCAACTATATTTGTCTTCTCTAAAAAGTTCAAACTACAATTTATACGTTTTTTTTTTAATCATTTTTATTCTGAACAGGTTCGTCGTGCTTTAAAAAGATTCTTGCAGTGCACATGGTTGATTTTAACTTACCTGTTGCTTCTGGCAAATGGTCATAATCAAAAGAACGAACAAAATATTTAAGGCTTGTAACTGAAAAAAAAAGTAACGCACATTTGACTATTCCTTTGCCGTTTCAAGAAGGGTGTTCTCATTTGTCAATTTCGCTGTTTTTTAGTTATAAAATATTTTGGCCCAAGTATGTAAACGAACTACAAAGATGAAATTCGAATATAGTCCATAAACTCGTCCGGTTACGTACATAACTACATACTATCTACTATTGCAGAAAATTGATACGTCTACTACACTCTACAATCGACAGCAGCATCTTTCACCTAAAAGAGAAGAACTACTACATTTGCCAATATTGTGGACTTGTGGGCTTCGAAAAGGGCTTCATTTAGGGTTGACAAACATGGGTCTCAAGAGTCATGAATCCATGGCTAAAGGGACTAGCTAACAACTTCCTTACCATCACTAACCAGCTAACCTCCTTAATTAGAAAATCATCTATTTTCATTACTTACGATTTTCAATGGATATCTAAATTTGAAAACAAAAAGCAAGATAAAAAAAAAAAAAAAAAAAGAATCATTGATAACCAATTGACCTAATTTCACTCTTGTGATTTGTTTCTCCTTACAAGTTTAAAACTAATGGACACAGTTTCATATTTGTTGGTTCAAATTATCCCACACCATATGGGCTTTCCGTGACAAATCCAGTATAACTTTTGGATTTTTGAAACAAAACTACAAAAGAAAATGGTTCTAAGAAATGAAAGAGCCAATAAACAGAAGAAGCTGACGTTTCCTCAGACATTCTGTCTCATTCGTAACTCTTTTATTTTTGTTTTGCCTTTGCTCTGTCATTTCACCTCACAAGTCATTGCCTACGTGCTTTCAACCTCTATCTCTTTTCATTTAGCTTTTTCTTACCATCGCCGTACACGTGTCACTCTTAAGCCTTTAGATCTTTCTCTTCTGTACCATAATCAACACCTACCAATTATTTTCAGTTTTCGATTCGGTTTAATTAGTGTGCTTTGATGTATTATGTATGTATATGAAAGTATGTATAGGGTTTAGTGGTGGTCGTCTCGATAAAACCGAGCCTCGACTAGGGAGCACATGTTTTTGGTCAGACCATCTTCAAGCTTGTATTGATTATAATTATTTAAATATAATGTCTATATCGGTTACAATTCAAATAAACTAACTTTATTAGTAACCTACCTACAATAATATGTTGACAAAAGAAACCCCTTACCTATAATGTAAGATACACATCATGTCTTGATTTAATGATTAATTAGTTCGTAATAGTTGGGAGTTGGACGTAGAAATCGAAAAAAAAGGGTATCAAGATTTCATACGTTAATACGTTTTTGTATGCATATTAGAAGTTTAGCAATGAGTTAGTGGACGTTAATTAACATAACGATTGGTCCGGTATACTACCAAATTATGGATGCAAACCGGCTTTAAACCAACATATAATAATAACACATATTAATAACTCGATTGCAATGATATACAGATTTTCGAATTATATTGTCGAAAACATGGAACACCGACAGGTTGGTGTTAGAATCACACGCATGATATTGATATGCTACCAAATCTTTAAAATTTGCACCCAAATCAAAAGCGATAACGTTAGATTTCTCGTTTGTAAATTAAAAATTAATAACTTTGTGATGAAAAGAAAAGCCAATAAATAAATTAATAACGTAGTTTCCAGTCAAATTTAAACAAAATTACATAAGTAGCTTATTATTATTACTAACTAACGTGGTTATTTTGTCACTATAGACTATAGTAAATGTGAATTGTATCTATCTCTTTTCCGAAATACACTTGAGACTTGACGCATGTTGATTGGCTGCAGCAATACTGCTGAATTTTTAATTGCTTAAATACTAAATTTTTTGAAAGTGATTAACAAAAAAAAGTTTTCTTTACTAAATTAGAAATTTTATGACAGTCGTATTGAGTGGCTTGAACTTAAAGAGATAGAGAGAGAAGGTAAGGTAAGTTTTAGAGAGAACTTGAGAGAGAGAGAGAGAAAGAAGGTAACGTTTTCACAAAGGAGGCTTCTCTCAGACGAAACGAATAAAGAACAAAAAAAGCTGTGAAGAATCCATAAAAGGTGACAAAAGCAAGAAGGAGAAGCAAACATGTATCCTTATCTTGTCTTCTGATTCACACACGTACTATTCTTCTTCTTCTTCTTCTTCATCATTATTATTCACCAAAACCACTCTTCCCTCTTTCTCTCTTGTTAGTATTCTTTATGTGTTATCTGATTTTTTTTCCTTCTCTTGATTTTTGTTTGGTAGAAGAAAATAATGGAGGGTATTGATCAATATTAGTGTATTATTGCAACAATGGTGGAGGTTTCAAGAAGAGCAGTTTCGTTAGAGAAGAAGAAAAATTAGTTTCATAACTCTTCAATGTCGTTGATCAGATTCATTTCATTATGTCTTTAATTTACTCATCTCATTAAACAAACAAATAATGTGACGGTTTGGGAAGTAGTGATATTGGCGGAATGGCTCAATCTCCTTGTCACATTATCACTTTCTTTGTTTTCCTTCTCTTACTTCATTTATTTAGTTACATATCTTGTTTTACTTCTTGCTGAAACCAAAAGTTATGAACTACTTGAAATGGTGAGCTTTTTCATATTTACTTTCCATCAATTATGCAAGAATTTGGCTGGAAGATGCAGGATATTCATTTTAATTTCAAGCAATTTTTATTTTGTTTACAAATCTTCTGATTTCTCGATTTGTCACTTTCTAACGAATGATGACTATATGTATATCTATATATTTGTCATCATACATGTTGATGATATTGCATGTCTGTCTAATTAAAATTTTTATTACTTGATGTGTTAATTACTGCTGTCGACCAAAAAAAACACTTAGATGTGTTTTGTTGACGACCTCAACATAGGAAAAAGAAGAGAGAGAGATACAGTTCTACACTTCTATTTCTCTCGGGAAATGTGCCTATCATCAAATCGGATAGCTTCATTTAAAAAAAAAAAGTTTTAATAAAAGAGAGAAATATACCAATATGTTAACTATTCACAGTTATTGCTCAGTCACTACGTACATTAGTCAATTATTGCTAATCAGTAGTATATGCTTGATCAAGAAATGATTAAATGATTTCATACAAAAAAAAAGAAATGATTAAATGATGCAATTATAAAGTGAGCTAAAATAAAAATAAAAAATTAAGAGAGAAAGTTCGGTAGAGTGTTCAATGCAAGATGTTAGAGTCCCACATCGGAAAAAAATAAAATCCTTGGGCAATATATATAGTATGAGGCAAACCTCCTCCCTTGAGCTAGCTTTTGGGTGTTGAGTTAGGCCCATTACTAATATGGTATCAGAGCAAAGGTTCAACTTTCTCGAAAGTGGGCTACCATCCGTGGATGTCCAGTCCCACAAACTTCACGCTTCAGATGTCCAGTCCTGAGCGTGAGGGGGGTGTGTTAGAGTCCCACATCGGAAAGAAATAAAATCCTTGGGCAATATATATAGTATGAGGCAAACCTCCTCCCTTGAGCTAGCTTTTGGGTGTTGAGTTAGGCCCATTACTAATACAAGAAAAATGAATGTTCTGGCAGCAAGCTCAAAATCAATGCAAGGCTAAACATTATGCTATATATGAATTTTCTTGCTAATTTATGTTGTAGTATAGTTTAAAAAGACTTAACTACAATTAGTATTTTTGGTTTTTGCTACAATCAATATTCTTGGGAAATGGGAGGTATCTTGAATTCCCTCTCCCTTGTGGGGTTTCTTGTGTTCTCGAAGCCCCAAACAAAATGTCACATCACATGGGTCTTCGTGTATCAACCATTTACTAATTAAACAGATGTAATGTATATTGAAATTATCCACGAACAAAAGCTCTATCTCGAGGCATATAATAATGTGCATATACTGTTTCTTAGATCTCTTGCAATGTACTTTATACAAATGTGATTAATAAAGAAACACGTTGAGAAAAAAAAAAATAATAAAGAAACACATAAACTTAATATGAACAACAAACCTCGCTGTTGGTAATGGTAGATATAATGTTCTTTGTTAATTACATTGGTTTGGACAAACTTTACACCTGGAATATGTGAAATATTTATGTGAAAGCACTATTGATTTCGATAACAACACAGCTAGATGATTTCATTTTAAAATATATGTCACATATACCATATGTTTTGTTTCATTGTGGTCGTTTAGGATTTAGGATGATCCCATGCCACACGACCAACATATATACTCCAGGTGTTGTTGATTGGGCTCAGAGTTTATACCTCAAACAAAGTTTTTTTCAAACTCTGTTGTTGATTGGGCTCAGAGTTTGGGCCTATCATCCCATGAGGCCCTCTTCCTCATCCGAATAGTTTTGAGTTTTGACCACGCAATTTATGTATTTATTCTATCATATGGTCCATTTTGTTAATGATTTCTAGTTTGTTTTAGTTACAAATTTAAACAATTTTAAATGATTGAAATTTAGGTACGGGAATGGTCTACTAGATCACCAATCTGTTATTTTGATATAATATTTTCCTTTAAATTTTAATTCCCTATTTAATTCAAAATGTTTGGATTTTGCAGGAAATTCGTTCAGGACCTTTTTTATTGGGCAAAAAAAATTCAGGAATCATAATTCAACGTAATTTTTGGACATAAATTCATTTTGATTTCAAATTCTGTACTATTGGTTTCTTGTGTCCTTTATGTCGTATATTTGTATTAGTTAACAAAACTATTATATATAGGTGTATAAAGTTATCTTCAGTATAAATAATAATTCCGGATTTTTTAAAGTTAGGAAAATTATGAAATGAAAGTTAAAACTAAACTTATCTATGTACACAATTTCAAATCTTAAGTATGAAGTATATTTGTCAATGCTCACTTGCTCAGTCTATGTGTATTTTTATATTTATTTAATCTTTGACATATATGTAATCAAGAATCATAAAGAAGTAGAAAGATTATAGAACGTGGAAGAATCAGGCCGACCATATGAGCAATGGGAAAATCGCAGAAGAATAGAATAAACGCACTCCGACGAAGATTTGCTTCCCCTTTCTCTCTCTTTTCCCCTTATTTTAACTTCAACTTTTTTACTCAATTTTTTTCAGTTTAAATATATATTTTGCTTCTGTTTTCACGTAAATTTAAAAACCAAATACACATGTTTCTAGTAGTTTATACACCGTATATAAACCATAAATATTCGTGAATGTTAACAAAATTATAAGTTCAACCATACCTCACATGCTTATACCGATATTCACAAGATGGTACGGTTGATAAAAAACAAGACGGCAAATGAAGAATTTTGAAACAGTTAATCACATAGTTGGTAAAATCAGCAAATTTTCAATAGATTTAGTTAAAGCTAAAATCAATGACTTCAAGTTCCACTAATTAAATGTATGATTGATGACTCATGCTCCATAGCTACATGCTAGGATGCACAACAACACTGTTCTGCTACACATTGAGACAAAGCATACACAATTGGCCCTGATACCAAATAAAAAAAGGTGACAATATTTAAAAAAAGGGACTTCAAGGGAATAAAGTATATGTAATTAGTGCAAATCAGAATATGGTCCTGGGAATAAAAAAGATGAAACAAACCTTACTAAGAGAATTAGAGAGGAAAATATCCAAACTTTGTATGTGGTGCAAATTATTGGGAAGATGATTCTACTTTTATAATCCCTTCATGAACATTAATTATTTCCTCCTTTTCCCGTATGCTTTACATGATACTTCAATTTTTTGTAAGAATATTGAAACATTGCCCATTAACGCATCATAAGATTGATCTTTAGCTGGATTTGTCCCATCATCCAATCTTCTCCACTTAAGTAAAAGGCACAAAATTTTAAGTCTTCCAAATTCGGTTGGATTGTTATAGCCACATGTTAAATCTAATTGTGATGTTAAGTTATTTATTAAGCATTCAACAATATTTCTCTCGTACGAATAGGTTTTAGTTTCTCGACAGTGAATAAAAACGATTTAGTCATGAGTTTTATCAAATTATGTGTGGGAATAACAAATTATGAAAGTTAATTAAGGAATATATGTGAAACAAAGTACAAAGATGCATGCATGATGTAATTGGATCATTGATATTATGTGACATAAAAAAACAAGGTAATTGGTTACAAAGCATCTCAATGCTTACCTCATCTTGCTCAACCTAATTCGGCATTTTTTGGCCACTTTCAACTCCTGTACTTCTCCTCTTCTATATATATATAATATATATATATATATATATATATATATATATATTTTACTCCTCTATATTTTTTATGAATTGAATTAAAATGTTTTTTAGTCACCACGGCAATTACGTTTTGTGACAATTTGATGTTGTTATCCACTAACTAGGTGAATGTGTTAAAACTACACTTCGGTGAGCACAAGATAGAAGAATTATCAAAATGATATTACTTCAAACGATCACATGAATGTTATTTCACATTTCTAACTAGTCAAAAATCTAAACACATAAAAAAATGAATTTTCTCACTCTAAATCTCTTTTTCAGTATCTTTAGACTACTTCGAGATATGACATACATTTTCTTCATTAAAATTCATACAAATTTCCATAACAGTGTTTGAGTGCATCGTTACGCACGATGCAAATGGGCAATGCATGATTGATTATTTATTAGTAAGTACATCTTTAACAAGAACTTAAATTCATTTTCTAGCATTTTTACCGAAAACTTTATCAAAAAACATACATTCGAAACGTGGGGGTCATGAATGTTCTTGCAGTAAAGTAAGATGTGATTGAAAGGGAAAAAGATAAGAAATGTAATAAAATAAGATAAAAAGACAAAGAAGTAATTATTAGACCGTTCGATTAAATTAATACGAAAGTAGGAGGAGGTGGGCCAAAATAATAACAAAGAAAAATAGAGGGACAAAAAGGAAAGAAGTCAAAAGTATAGGGACTTATCATAAAATAATGTAACATCACAATTTCACAACCTCATCAGGGCAAGTGTATGGATTCGCCTATTTCAGGCTCTTCGTATCACTATCTTCATGTTGTTGACATTTTTATACAATAATTTCTTAATACGCGTATCATTAAATATCATTATAATTAATTTTCAAATTTAGGTCGATAGATGATAGATAGCAAATTCAAATTTCATCTTCTGGTAAAATATTGTTTCATTAATAAGATAGAAATTTTTTTAGAAGAAGACAAAAGAGGAAAGAGGATGAAGCTATTTTAGCGTGCATCAGTCTGTCACTGGTAGTCCTACTACATTACATCAATGTTCTCCATTTTTTTAAAAAATATGAATTTATTTTACTGTAAAATGGAGAAATAAAACAAATATTATATTAAGATTAATATGCTCCTCTAATATTATTAATTAACCCAAGTCGATTTTGGTCAATTCATCATCTTAGACCATATTTTTATCATCATACATATGTTTATTTTTAAATCTTTTTATCTTACTTCTTCTAATTATTTTAGTAATTAATTATTTACCCCCCCCCTTTGTGTACTTTGCTCTTATCTTGTTTTGTACTGTCAATCAGTAAGTGGTAAAAATTTTGTACCATTTGCTCTTATCATAGTTTAATTTACTGTTTTACCAATCAATTTTTAATAGAAATAATAGATATATCATTGTAGTAAAATTTATCGAAAAAACATATTAGATTTGATTGGTAATTCAGTATTTTTGCATTACATGGTATACTAATCATAGAAGCATTACTAAAAACAAATAAATTAAAATAATTGTTTTATACCATTATCTCTTACCACTAGTTTATACCCTTTTTAATTATTTTGTTTACCGTTTTACTGTTAAATGTTATCAATCAGACTTATTAATACTAAATTAGAAAAACATATATGGTTCCAATATACAAAAAAAGGTGGCATTAAGAAGGAAAAAAAAGCAAAGAAAAAGAGAGAGAGAGAGACTGGAGTAGACCAGCATCCACCATCCCGGGTCCGACAGTCCGTATCAGCTTCCCCTGATTCTCTCTCTACAAATGTCCCTATCTCCTCTCTTGCCTCTCTCTCCCTCATTTAAACATCTTAGCTTAAACCTTTTCTCAGCAACAAACTCATCTCCTCTGAGAGAAACTGTTTTGAGAAGAAGTAAAGACTTCTTTGATAAACCCGAGATATCTTTCTTGTTTTGAAAATAAAAAAAAGCGGAGATTTACATTTTCTTCTTCTTCTCTTTTTCTTGTTTGCTTTTGCTTTCTCTTCTTTTTCTATGTGTGTTTGTGGTCACTACCCCGAAAAATAAAGTAATGCTGTCTCCCTTCTCTTCTAAATTATTGTTTACCTCTCGTAACTAAAACCTTCCATGGTAGTAGTAACAAAGAAGACGATGATGATTCAACTTCATCTCCTCTACTTCTTCTTGTTCCTCTGTTTTTCTACTCTTACTCTCTCTTCTGAGCCCAGAAACCCTGAAGGTAAAAAACTGCTTCTTTCATTGTTCCTTTACTTTAAAAATTGGATCTTTTTCTCAACTCTTTAAACAAAAATCCAATTTTTTTACAGTTGACGCGTTGATAAGTATAAAGAACGATTTGCATGATCCTCATGGAGCTTTGAACAATTGGGATGAGTTTTCAGTTGATCCTTGTAGCTGGGCTATGATCACTTGCTCTCCCGACTACCTCGTCATTGGACTGTGAGCTTTTTTTTTTTTCTTTTCCGATTTTGTTTTCTGCTTCTAGAGTTCATTAATGGCGACAATTTCTCTCTCTGTCTCTCCAATGGCAGGGGAGCGCCGAGCCAGTCTCTCTCGGGAAGTTTATCTGCGTCAATCGGAAATCTCACTAATCTCCGACAAGTGTAAGATTACGACATAATAATATAAAGTTTGTCTTTTTTGCTTGTTTCTCTACTCTAATAACCTCAATTCTGCTTCTTTTGTTTTAAAGGTCATTGCAAAATAACAACATATCCGGCAAAATTCCACCGGAGATTGCTCTTCTACCCAAATTACAAACCTTGGATCTTTCCAACAACCGATTCTCCGGTGACATCCCTGTTTCCGTTGAGCAGCTAAGCAGTCTTCAATATCTGTGAGCTTCTCCTTCAATCTTGTAATGATGTTTTTCTTTTCATCAGTTCATAAATCATCTTAATAACCTCGTACGAATTGAATTTCTGTAGGAGACTCAACAACAACTCTCTGTCTGGGCCCTTCCCTGCTTCTTTGTCCCAAATCCCTCACCTCTCCTTCTTGTGAGTATACAGATTTGTACTTTCACCTACTCAAGTGTTTTGTTTTTGTCTGAAATTTAAATTTCTTTTGAAATTCAGGGACTTGTCTTACAACAATCTCAGTGGCCCTGTTCCTAAATTCCCAGCCAGGACTTTCAAGTATATTAAACCTTAAGTTTCAAAATTTGAAGTGATTTTACAAGTTCTTGTATTTGAATTCAGGACTAAGTCTTGCTTCTGCTTTGCTTTTGAATGTGTAGTGTTGCTGGTAATCCTTTGATTTGTAGAAGCAGCCCACCTGAGATTTGTTCTGGATCAATCAATGCAAGTCCTCTTTCTGTTTCTTTGAGCTCTTCATCAGGTAAAACTCTCGTTCTTGAATTAACCCATTGTAATGATCCTTTCAGTAATCAATTTGGTTACTTGAGTGTGTGTAGGACGCAGGTCTAATAGATTGGCGATAGCTCTTGGTGTAAGCCTTGGCTTTGTTGTTATACTAGTCCTTGCTCTCGGGTCCTTTTGTTGGTACCGGAAGAAACAAAGAAGGCTACTGATCCTTAACTTAAACGGTCCGTCGATTTGAGCTTGTTGTTTATACAACTTTGATTCGGGAAGATGTTAAGTTTTTAGTTTTGCTTTTAGCAGATAAACAAGAGGAAGGGTTACAAGGACTTGGCAATCTTAGAAGCTTCACATTCAGAGAACTCCATGTTTCTACGGATGGTTTCAGTTCCAAGAACATTCTTGGCGCTGGAGGATTCGGTAATGTGTACAGAGGAAAGCTTGGAGACGGGACAATGGTGGCAGTGAAACGGTTGAAGGATATTAATGGAACCTCGGGGGATTCACAGTTTCGTATGGAGCTAGAGATGATTAGCTTAGCTGTTCATAAGAATCTGCTTCGGTTAATTGGTTATTGCGCCACTTCTGGTGAAAGGCTTCTTGTTTACCCTTACATGCCTAATGGAAGCGTTGCCTCTAAGCTTAAATGTTAGTATAACTCTTGAACTGTTGGTCGAAATCTCATTTTCAATGGTTTTAACCACACTTGTTAACTGGTGTAGCTAAACCGGCATTGGACTGGAACATGAGGAAGAGGATAGCAATTGGTGCAGCGAGAGGTTTGTTGTATCTACATGAGCAATGTGATCCCAAGATCATTCACAGAGATGTAAAGGCAGCGAATATTCTCTTAGACGAGTGCTTTGAAGCTGTTGTTGGTGACTTTGGACTCGCAAAGCTCCTTAACCACGCAGATTCTCATGTCACAACGGCAGTTCGTGGTACGGTTGGCCACATTGCACCCGAATATCTCTCCACCGGTCAGTCTTCTGAGAAAACCGATGTGTTTGGGTTCGGTATACTCTTGCTCGAGCTCATAACTGGAATGAGAGCTCTTGAGTTTGGTAAAACTGTTAGCCAGAAAGGAGCTATGCTTGAATGGGTAAGCCATGAGACTCAGAATTATATTTTCTTGATTACTTGATAAGATCAACCAAATTAACATTTTCTTCGGATGTTGTAACTTTGGTTTAGGTGAGGAAATTGCATGAAGAGATGAAAGTAGAGGAACTGGTGGACCGAGAACTCGGGACAAACTACGATAAGATTGAAGTTGGAGAGATGTTGCAAGTGGCTTTGCTATGCACACAATATCTACCGGCTCATCGTCCTAAAATGTCTGAAGTGGTTTTGATGCTTGAAGGCGATGGATTAGCCGAGAGATGGGCTGCTTCGCATAACCATTCACATTTCTACCATGCCAATATCTCTTTCAAGACAATCTCTTCTCTGTCTACTACTTCTGTCTCAAGGCTTGACGCACATTGCAATGATCCAACTTACCAAATGTTTGGATCTTCGGCTTTCGATGATGACGATGATCATCAGCCTTTAGATTCATTCGCCATGGAATTATCCGGTCCAAGATAACACAATGAAAGAAAGAAAGAAAGATATCATTTTTCGACATACGATGGATCAAACAACCCAAGGGAAAAGCTCTACACTTTTTATAATATAGACATGTATATGGTGGTGAATTAATGAAAAATTTCTCAACAGTTTGAGATTGTGTTCGTTATGTTAATGTATATATTAACTTCTTAGAAAGTATTTTATTGCGAGTTTCTTTGATTATTTTGCTTCCTTTAACATTATGATGACAAAGGAAGAAACTATGAGACTGATATGTTTGACTCTTTTTCTTTTGACCAGAATCTGATTTGCTCTCTCTCACACACACTCAAAATTGTATCAACAGTTCTGAGAATTTATCTGTTGTTGTTATCATAAGCTGCTTTGTGTTTGTGGTCCTTTAAGCTTAATGTGTTGCGACTTTTGTCCAACTTTGACTCTCATGTGTCATTTTCAAAACCAACAACAAATCTTATCTCACTCAACAACAAAGCGACATCGTTTTGGAAAGAAACAGAAGAGGGAAGAAACGACAACGTTTTGGGAAGAAGAAGACGAAAACAGAACATGTATATAAAGCAGAAAACATTAAAACAGCTGTTTTGACGAAAAGAGTCTTCTTCTACAATTTGGAGACATGGCGAATCAGTCCTCTCTTCCTTCTCCTATCTATTGTGTTTCTTTCAATCAAGATAATAGGTGAGCTATCTTATTTATTGGAAAATCATTGAAAAACAACGAATTCGATTCTCTTAGAAGATTTTTCCAGGAAAAACTTTGCCTTTTTCTTTTCTCAGATAACGTAACTCAAAAGCTGCCCTTTTGTTGTTGTTGTTGTTTGTTGGCTGTTCGATTATTACAGTGGGTTTGCTATAAGCTGGAAAGATTCCTTCAAAATATTCGATTCCACTACAGGCAGACTCTGCTATGAACGAGGCAAGTTTTATCATCATCATCCACTTAGACTCTCTTCGTTTTGGTTCTGGGTTTTAATCAAAAGATTTAATTTTTGTTTTCTATCTCCTTCAAATTGAATCTGTGGGGGTTTATAGTTGATGGGTTTGTAACAAAATTTGGTTAGATGAATCGAAATCTTAAGTATGATCTTCTGATATTGAAGACAACTTCTTGTAATGCAGACATTAAATTGTAGATTGGATAGTGTCTGAATATTGATACCTGGTAAAAAAGCTAATGCAATTGGTATAAAATCATCCTAAATTTATTTCAAGCTTCAATTTTTACTGAAACTATGTATTGAAGTTGTTTTGCCTTTTGTTTCTTTGTTGTTAGCTGCTGGGGCTTTTGTTATTGTTGAGATGTTGTATAGCTCAGATCTACTTGCCGTTGTTGGAGCTGGTGAACAGGTTTGTGCTTTATGAACATTTTTTCGGTTATCGGATTTGATCTTGGTTTGATTAAGGAAAATTTCATATATATAGGCTTCTCTATCCCCACGGCGTCTTTGTTTGTTCAAGACCACAACGGGGTTACCTCTTAGGGAATTGAACTTTTTAACTTCTATACTTGCTGTCCGTATGAACAAGAAAAGGTTTGTTACTGAACTTATTACTTCTGGCTGTTTTTTTTTTTTTTTGTTTTGGCTTTTGAGAGTGAATTCATGGTTCTGTGATTGATTCTTATCAGACTTGTTGTTGTGCTGCTAGAGAAAACATTCGTTTACGACTTGAATACTCTTGTCATGCTTGATACTATCGACACCGTGCCAAATCCTAAAGGTAGCTCTTTAAGTTTCCTTCGTAATAGTTCGTTGTAAACAGAAATATAAATGTCTATCTTCGTTCAGGTCTATCTGCATTCTCTCCATCTCTTGAAGGCTGCTACTTAGCTGTTCCAGCTAGTACGACGAAAGGGGCGGTTTTGGTGTATAACGTCATGGATTTGCAGTCTCATAGTGAGGTTTACTAGATGCTTCACCTGATTTTGGATTATATATCTACTTTGCATATTAAACTCAGTTGTTTATTAACTTGATTGTATTGTTTCTCTGTTTGTTAAACTCGATTACAGATAGATGCACATCGTTCTCCATTGGCTGCGATTGCACTCTCTTCAAATGGAATGTACATTGCTACAGCGTCTGAGCAAGGAACCTTGATCCGAGTCCATCTTGTTTCGGAAGCAACTAAGGTGAATAGTTGCTCTTTCAATACATGACCATTTTGTTTTTCTACAAATTCTTAATCGTTTCTTTCTTCTGTTTGCAGTCATATAGTTTCAGGAGAGGAACATACCCATCTACTATATACTCACTGTCTTTTGGACCATCGACACAGCTTCCGGATATATTAATTGCAACGAGTTCTTCAGGCTCCATTCATGCCTTCTCTTTAAGTTTGGCCATAAACCAAAGGTTAGGATTAAGAAGCACACTCTCACTCACTTATGTATAGTGAGATTCCTAACAGTTGTAAGAGTTTCTCAGAAGCAAAAGGTCTACCAGCTTTCTTGGATCGGTTCTTCCGGACAGCGTGAGTGATGCACTAGATCCAGCTCACCATCATGTGCTTCAAAACGCAGTTTCTTCCGGGATTAGAAGGTGAAAGGCTATTCTTTTGGACGCTGCTAATGACCTATTAGGCTATATAACCCAAGAGGTTTATTGTCTGTCTCTTGCTTGCGTGTACAGTTATGCAGTGGTTAGGAAGATAGACAAACTTGAAGGAACATCATCTCCATCTCAGTTTACATCTCTTAGGTAAGCTTTTAGGATATCCTCATTTTGAAACCATGGTTAGATGATAAGTTTTGATAATCTTTTGCGTTTCTCATTCTTTTCAGAGCAACGGTATCAGTGATTACTTATAATGGGTATTTCCAGGAGTATACGCTAAGTATCAATAACAAGAATGAGTCTTTATGGACAATGGAACGTGAATTCAATCTCTTCTCCATAACAACCGGGTGATGTATAAATCAAATACCAAATGTATGAAAGTACAGGGCAACTTTTTTGTATGTAACAATCTGTACCTTGGGTTCATCAAGAATATTATTATAGTCTCATGGTCTTTGGTTGTTCGCAAATATTATTAGCTCTTTCGTGCTATTACTCTAGCTTAATCTTGATTTGTGTTCAAGAAATGAAATACAAAATGGTCTCTCTTGAGTTTCCCAACTCTTTCCATCATTTCTCACTTAGTCTATAGTTACAGTCAAGGCTCTTTAGCTATGAAAATCTGAATATTCATGTCGAATCATTTGTCTGTCTAATGGCTCACAAGTCACAAGTCGCAACATCACCATAATATCGCAAAAATTCAAAGAACAAAGTCTTATCTTCTGAGAATTTCACTGTATCCTACTCAGGACTATTAGTCTACTTCATCTTAACACATCCACTTAAGTCAAAATAGTGTAAAGACAGCTACATCCGTAAAACAGGTACATGCAAAGTCAAGAGTATTTTACCCACTGATTTGCATTTTGTATGTTTGAAGTAAGATTTGCCAATTGTGTTGCTAAAGATGATGTTTATGACATTCATCGTGATCTTGTCTTGACGACTTGTCCTCTAGAAGCTTTTCTCTCCATCTTCTCCCTCTTTTTGCGAGTCTTCTCATCCTCAAGACCTCCCTAAGTTCAGTCATAGAGACAAAACACAGTCCATTTTAATGCTCATGTTTTATTTCCCCTTGTTCAAAGCTCTTTGAGAGTATTCAAAACAAAGTGATTACCTCTGAACCATGTGACAATAATCCCTTAATAAGACCAGAAGCTTTGTAGGCTCCAAATGCAGGAATCTATAACAACAAAAAAGCAAATGTAAATGGTTGCATTTTTCCTACAGAGCAAATCTGTTGTTTGCCTAAAGTAGGCCAATAAAGAAAATTGAGATTGGGTATCATACCACTAAATACGCGTACCAAAACTTTCCAGAGATGATAGATCCAAGCTGCACAAAACAGGTGATATAGAGTACATCATGCAAATATCTGCAAGGACAAAGAGAGCATGAGGCTTATGATATACAATCTACCATCAATCCAATCCACCATGAAAATGACGATTATGTAGCAACTGATTAAACGATAAAACTCAGAGAGAACCACAACTATGGTGGCTTAAACATCAACTCATTTCAAACAACTGATAATGAAACATTCCTCCTACTACTGCTTTTGGTTATGGAGACAGAATCCAAACATACAGAACACTTGAGACAAAAGCAGCCATTTTCTGAAATCTTAGTTGATCAATTTAAAAGACAAATCTTTTTAGAACGTACCCACACATTCCACCAGTGCTCATGTCAAATCCACCGTCAAGAAGTTCACCATCATCACTAACACTAGGCTTTGCCATTTGATCAAGAAGCTTATAAGGAATGGCGTAACCTAACGATGTTACCACAAGACCAATCCAATGTTTCCAGGTATGGCTTGAATGCGAAATTATCACCCTCACTATGACATACAAAATCTGCCAAAAAAAAAAAAAAAATCCTTGAATTCATCGAAATAAAATCAGCTAAAAATTGAAACTTTCGAATCCTAAAGATCAAATTCAATGGATTTTTAGTTCCAATTTGACCCAAGTAACGTATCCAATCAAATATAAGCTCAATGGATCAATGTTCGAGAAACTGAGAAATGAGGAAAGAGGAAGTACGTTGCAACAGATCATTATAAGCCGGAGCTTAGCCATGTGTCGAGCGTTCTCATCTTTCCGCTTCTTTGCTCCTTGATTCGCCATAACAAAAGAGAGAAAGATCAAACAGACGACGAAGATAGTTTATTCAGTTTCTGTAATTCTTATTTTGCTTTGGATCTTCGCAAATGGTGTGAGAGAAAACTTTTAGGTGTCTAGGTTTGTTTAATCCAATTAAACATTTACACCTGTATAATTGTTTGTCGTTTTGCTCAAATATTTTTTCACGCAGGAAATGTTTTGTTTGGCTGCGTGTCGTAATTACGCTTTTCCTTGGGGGTTTAGGACAAAGATTATTAATTTGGGCTTTCGTCTATCTTATCCAGTTGTTGTTGTTGGAAAACTGAAACAGAGCAGTTCTATGTCAATGGGCCATAAAAATGATACGGCCCACAAATGATATAGAACTGTTTTTTTTTTTTTTTTGGACAAATGACATAGAACTGCTATGTTTCAGTTTTCCAACAACAAGAAGTCTTTGTGAAATCACCGGCGCTCGGAGAAGACATCGATCGTAGAGTGTGATTGATAACCTTTTACCGCTATGCTAAAAAGTATACCATTTCTATTGTGATCAACCGGTAAAACGATAAGTTATAACGGAACAAGAATAAAAGTGGTACAAAACTTTTACCGTCTTATCGTTTACCGTTTTCTCCTCTCTCTTTTAATTAATCCGTAATCACTTACCGTTATTTCATACAACTAATTTTTTTAAAATTGTTTTGTGTTGTTCTACAAAAGTAAAAACAAAAAAAAACTGAAGATATCATATTTTGTGGGCCTATGTCCAATATTTAATTGTAGCCCATATTTGGATGAAACTTCATGTCTTACACAACATGGTTCCCGAATATCCCAATCTGCTTATGGTGTTAGGTCAATTCAACATAGTATTATTTTGTCACCAAGCACCATTATAGCAAAAACAAAGATGTATCAAAGAAAAGTAGCATTAGGGGTTGGTCCGAAAAAGACATGTTTGCAATGTAAGAAATGACGTCGACACGTGGAATCACACGCAATGCAACCAGTCACCATTAAGGTCTATTGTTCAACTTAGGCATCGAGATCAAAACGATCATCATAGGGACCATCTCTCTCCCACTTGGAATATGCTTAGCCCATGTATGGACACATTTTGCTAGGTCCACCAGAATCCGCAAACGCAACATCGAGAAGCTTCCGTTCCAATATTATATACTATAATTACAAATTTTTTAAATTGTTTTATAAATTTGTAATTTGACTTGTAGACGTCCTTAGGGTAAGTTTAGTAAAAATTTAAGTGAAAAAGAAAGATATATCAAGACATTAATTTTTTATAAGAATAAAAATAGTCAACTCTCTTAAATAAGGGAAAATCCTGGAATATTATCCTCTCCTGACCTGGAAAACAACTATGCAATCAACATTAACAATTGTAATGAGCTGATACAACACATTCAATTTTGGTTTTAAAAATGAAATTATATTAAAATAAAAATAAAACGTGTGTCTTAGTCGATAAATAACTCAATAATCATCACGTCTCTCTCTGTTTTAAGAGTTAACAGTTAAAGATCTTCTTCTCTATCTTCCTTATTTGACTACATCTCCGTTTATTCTTGGGTCTCTCTATCTCTCTTATCCAGATTTATCATCATCCATTACATATAAACACATCAAACTTAACTTTTCAATATTCTTCTCATCATTCACTTTTCCCTCTTGTTCCCCAATTCTTATCCGGATCCGATTTCTCATACAAAGATTCTGTTTTTCTTCTTGGGTTTTGTTTTTTTGCTCTGTATCCGTATCTCAAAGTTTTCCTCTTTTCAGCATCTGATTTTGCAAATTGAATTTGCATTGATCGTAGATGAGACCAGTCATTAGATCATCATCTCTCAGTAGAATTAGATGGGCTCTGAGGAACAATCAAAAACGTTATTCTTCAACTTTATACTCGAAAAGCCGCAAACTTTTGATCGGTGTCAATCAAAATCAAGCTCTGGTGAATACAAACACTGATAATTCAAGTTTGTATTCGAGGTTAAGTATCTTTAGAGGCTTATCAGCAGAAGCAGTAGAAGCTGCTGATCCTGCTGCCACTAGGCTCACCGTCTCAGGTTTTGTTTCTCTTTTCAATCAAATTCGGTTAACCTCAGAGAGAGTTTGTGTTTATGATTCACTGATTTTTGTTGAATGATGACTCACAGATGTGAATAGAAAAGGTCCGCTAGTTGAGTATGAAAGAAGAATCAATGATGGTGAACTCATGACTGGTGATATCTGCCAAGTATGATACTCTTTTTTACTTCATCAAAGCTTTGAGCGATAATGTGATTCATGTTACTTGCGGCTTAAGGTTGTGTTTGAAATTTTGCAGATTGGTGCATTGAGAGAGCTTCAGAGACTATATGATGAGCTTGTGGAATCAGTAGATACATGTCGTTTAGATCGGTATAATACTTCTGATAAATCCTCAAGGTGATTCTTCTGTTTGCTTAACTTTTAGACTTTTTCCTTCTCTGTTTAGGAGTGAGAACTTAAGTCTCACACATATCTGTGTTTTTGTGTGATACAGAAGTCGTTGGTTTTGGTCTCGGCTCATGCCGCAGACTTCTTACTCACCCGTCAAAGGATTATACCTTTATGGAGGTGTAGGCACAGGAAAAACCATGTTGATGGACTTATTCTTTGATCAATTGTAAGTTTGTATGATCAAATTCTTATCTTTTTCTTTTTATCTAGCAATGCGGTTTCATGATAAGTCTCTTGTTTCTTTAGGCCTTGTACTTGGAAGAAGCAGAGGATACATTTCCATGATTTCATGTTGAGTGTTCACAGCCGCTTGCAAGTATGGATTATTGCGTTTCCATTGTTTCTCTATTGGTTTTTGTAGGAAAAGCCATAGCCTTTTGTGATACCTCGTTTGATTTCAAGTCATAATGTTTGCAGAAACACAAGGGTTTATCAGATCCACTTGAAGTTGTTGCCCAAGAGATAGCTCATGATGCAATCTTACTATGTCTAGATGAGTTCATGGTATATACTTTATTACACATATTATCTTTTTGAAAGTGATCATCTTTGGATCAACCCTTCTTAATTTTTATGGCTACTGTTTCTGTTGTTACAGGTAACTGATGTTGCAGATGCTCTGATACTTAACCGACTCTTTGGACATCTCTTCAGCAATGGCGTTGTAAGTGTGATCCTTACTTACATTACGCTGCTACAATCATCTCTGCTCATTGGGGTTAAACTGACTTTTGTTTATGCTTGCGATATAAAATATAGATTCTTGTTGCTACATCGAATCGGAATCCTGATAAACTCTATGAAGGAGGACTCCAAAGGGATCTCTTCCTACCTTTCATTTCTTCATTGAAGGTAATATAAACTACTTCCATTAGTCCATTTTCTGTCGTTTCTTTTTAATTCAAAGACTGCATCAAGATTCCATTTTCGCAGGAACGAAGTGTGGTTCATGAGATCGGTTCAGCGGTTGATTACCGGAAACTAACTTCGGTACTGCTCTCAAAACCCTTAAAAACTCCCTAGAGTGGGTTCAAGGTAAAGCTGAGTTCAATAACTGGGAAACTTCTTCATTTTTGCAGGCTGAGCAAGGATTCTACTTCATCGGTAAAGATCTTTCGACCCTATTGAATCAGAAGTTCCAACAACTGATTGGAGACAATGTTGTTGCGCGTCCACAGGTAGTAGAAGTGGTGATGGGAAGAAAATTACAGGTACAGTTTATACCAATCTCTCTGTAATTCCAACACTTGTGTTTTCTGTATAGAAGTTCTTTATCAGGCAATGCTGCTTCATGAACAGATTCCCTTAGGTGCCAATGGATGTGCATACTTTCCTTTTGAAGAGTTATGTGACCGACCTCTTGGAGCTGCGGATTACTTCGGTTTGTTCAGTAAGTTACTTTGCTTTGGCTCCCTCTCATCTGCAAATCTTGTCTCTAAACAGTGCTTCTTCTTCTCTCTGATGTTGCAGAGAAGTTTCATACTCTTGCCTTGGACGGAATTCCAGTGTTCGGGCTTCATAACCGCACTGCTGCGTATAGATTCGTCACGCTAGTCGATGTATGCAGTTCATAGTTCTTGTTTTTTTGCTTATAAGATAGCACAACCAAACCATTCATCAAATCTGATTATGGTTTAAGATTTGCAGGTAATGTATGAGAACAGAGCAAGGTTGTTGTGTACAGCTGAAGCAAGTCCTTTAGAACTCTTGGAAAAGATTGTAACAATCTCAGAGGCGAAATCGATGGCTCCAAGAACATCATCGAGATCAAGAAAGAACGATGTGACTGAGCTCTGCGTGGATAACGAATTAGGTTTCGCAAAAGACAGAACCATCAGTAGGTAATGCAATAACAGCCTCTGTGATTAACAACTAAATCTACTAGTTTCATTGGATTTTGGTCATCAAGCGAATTTGTTTGTTATGTAGATTAACAGAAATGAACAGCAAAGAATACTTGGAGCAGCATGCCATAACACAGAGTCTGTAACACTCACACAAGACCCTTGATGGTTTTTCATGGGATTCAATCGAATCCGAAATAGCTTGTTGTATTTTATGTATCACACCAACAAATTGATACGAACCATGAAAAGGAAATAATATCCATTGTTGTAACTTGTAACATTGAATTTTTTATTTACTGTTATATCAAATCCAAAGAAATTGCATCTTTTCAGTTCCAATGCATCAAGAACAATAACACATTGCATGCATCAAGAACAATAAATTACACATTGCTTACTAAATATTAAGTTGTTGATTCGAAATATCAATACCACGCTAGTATATGTATGCAATTCCCGGTTCCATCTCTTTATTTTATTTTTTCTTAGAAGATGGCACAACCAAAACCATTCATCTGATGATGTATGAGAACAGAGCAAGGTTGTTGTGTACAGCTGAAGCAAGTCCTCAAGAACTCAAAGACGAAATCGATGGCTCCAAGAACATCATCGAGATCAAGAAAGAACAATGTTGCTGAGCTCTGCGTGGATAACGAACTAGGTTTCACAAGATACAGAACCATCAGTAGGTAATGTAATCACGGTCTCTGTCATTATTCATTAACAAATAAATCTATTAGTTCCATTGGATTTTTGCTCATCACGCCAATTTACCCATTGTTAGTAACATTATAATTTGAATTTACAAATATACTATATCCAAAAAAGATTGCATTTCAATACCAATGCATCCGGAACAATAACACATTGCAATACTAACCATATTGTTGCTAAACTTTAAGTGGTAGAAGCAATACATCAAGACCACTACGATATTAATGACTAGTTTTGGAAAGAAAGAGAGTAGGAGCCAGTGTTGGGATCTTTAACAGCCTTGAAGTTGTCCACACTCATCCCAAATCGACCCAAAATCGAGTTTCCCATCTCCTTCAGCTTAGCTACAAACACAATATGGTTCATTGTCTTAGAATTGATGGATATATATGACCACAAGGAATCACACTTGATGCTGATTGCAGAAGATAATAATAGTTTGTGATAGAATACTCTCAGAACTTACTTATAGCCTCTTCTTTCATCTTTTCTCGCTTCTCAGCAGCAAGAGGTTCAAGACGTCGAATCCCTTTCTTAGCTTGATCATTTGAAGGATCAAGTTCTAAGATCTTCTTCAGGTCTGCATATGGGAGAAAACAGAGACTCAGTAACTCTTCCAATAAACCTGATCTACCAAAAACTATCTATCCTGTAACAAGTACCAGAAACTAACCACCTAGAACTCCTCGCTTATTTTTCTAATAAATTGGTTTCATGAGTAAACCGCAAGGGGAAAGACGGTTATTGCTGGCATATAAGGTAGATAATGAACTCACCCGTGACAGCATCTTCGAAATGTTCAAGTTTCTCGTGTGCTTCTGCCCTTCGAACCAAGGCCTTAGTGTAGGTAGGATTTAGCTCTAAGGCTTTTGTGCATTCCTTGATCGTTTCTTCACATTTACCCTGACAAACATTTCATAGAAATCTTGAGTACTATACTCATCCTCAACCGAAATTCAATAGACCAAGAGCAGTAATCAAACAAAGGACATACCAATTTGAGGAAACATACACCTCTGTTTAAATGGCATATGGATCGAAGCTCTATAGACTCAGGAAACTCCTGAACAAGCTCTAAAGCACAAGCATACTTTGACAATGCTTCTTCATAAAGGCCATTAACGAACAGTTTATTTCCTTCCACTTTAGCCTCATTTGCTTCTGCCATAGCTTTCTCCTTCAAAAAAAGACAAATTCAATATCTGTCAACAGTAGCCTTCAAGCATTCTCTACTAATTTCATCCAAAGGTTCAAACTTTCACAGCAAAATTGAAACTTTGTCAAACCCTAAAGATAAAATGTAACTAATTTCAATGTGGATTCACCTGGATTGATCCGTCGTCGACTATGACTTCTCCTTCACTCATTAGCTCAACATGCTCTTCCTTCTTCTCCGAGTGTTGTGGTTCCTCCTGACTCGTGATGGCGTCGTTTTTGGTACCATCTTCCTCTCCTTCTTCATCGCTAACTTCACGTTCGCTGGCAGTCTCGAATCCGTCGGAATCATCTCCGTCGACTTGTTTTGTCTCTGTGGGTTGAGGTGAGGATGAAGACGAAGGCTTTTGTTCGTTTTTGATGAGGATCTCATCCTCACTCTCACTTGATTCGATCAGTACCATCTTCAATCTAGGGTTCTTCGAGAGTTTGCTTGCACAAAGATAGATTTCAACGCGAGACTTATTCGATCGTCGATCTAGCTTTCCTAAGAAATCTCAGAATCCAAGCTAGAGAAGAAGGTTCAAGATGCTGTTGTTAAACGGCGACGTTTTACTTACGACGTTAGGCAATCTCAGGCCTCGTATTGGCCCATTAAGTATATTACAATTTGGTGTTTTTAGTATAAATCCAATTCACATTATTCTCAGGTAAGAAAATATCATTTTAAAAGATTCGAAATTCTTTACTTTCATTACATGTTGATGATTCCGTAGCAAAATCATGAATTCTGTCACAAAATTGTGCACGATTTCATAGTAAAACAAGTCATGATTCAACAAATTGGTCGTAACTCGTAATCTAGGAAAACATGTTAGTATCAAAATTTAACTAAAATATGTTATGTGAAGTATTTTATCATTTGCATTTAAGATAAGCTTATGGCTTGCTAAGAAAATCATCTTTGTTTCCAACCATAATTTGAAAACAATATAATTTCTACATATAATTAAAACAATAAAAACTCTTTCTCAAATTTTTGAGTAATGATAGAATTAATGTGTTTGTTCATACACCAAAACAAGCACAATCTTTCACGGAAAGGTTCATACTATTATTGCACAATTATAGGAAACATCGCTTTATAAGGTTCGTATACGACAACTCTCTCCCAATTTTTAATATGTTTAATAAAAATTAGAGCATTCATATTGTGCCCCCACCCAAAAAAAAAGACTACTCATATGTTGAGAGGAAATGTGATTTTTCTTGTTTTTGATAGTTCACGGACAACACATGCTTCTATGAGAAGATCAATATACAAATTACAATCCTTTCTTGTTTGTATAATCACTTCATTTTGGATTTAAATTATGAAATCTTTCTTTAACAAGCAGAGCCAGCTTCTACCAGCTTGCTTAATTTATTGTTCCTTAATCTTTCTTCGTAAACTTCACTTCCGTGCATCTCATTCTCATACCTAATTGACAATATATACATATATAGTATTAGAAAGTAAGTTGCATAAATCAATTATATGATATTTCAAATAAAAATAAAAATTACACAATAAATTGTACCTCGGTGGCATAGGTATCAAAGGAGACAAGCTCTCCACAAGCTTGAGAGCTTCTTCTTCTGTGTTGACGATTTGGTTGAAGCAGAAATATCGACCGCAAGCCGAAACATCCTCGAATGCTCTAATATGAACATCCGCTAAAAACTTAACGTCTACGTACGCTAACACACCATTCTCATACATTTGTGCAGCTCCTGTTACCAAAAATACCATTTCATCAAATTCAAATCCCGAGTGCATGTATGTATGAATTAGTATGTTTTGTTCTTCAACTATCATTGTTTAAAAACAAATTCCATATATGATATATATATATATATACATATTAAAACACCTTAAAACATTCATAAGTTAGGAATCCTAACTTATTCCGAAACTTTGATTAAATGCTTCTTAAACTATTTTCTGAGATTTATGGAATTTCTTTATTTGGATGTATGTACCTTTGAGGTATGACATGGTGGGCCTAGCGTTGTGTTGTGCGACCGATGGTCCGACGATAAGACCAGGGTTGATAGAGACCATATTGAGCCTACGGTCCATGGCTAATGCCCAAGCTGCTTTCTCTGACAACATCTTTGCCAATGCATGCCACAACTGCATCCACATACAATTTCTACGCACGTGAGTTTGAGTTTGTTAATATGAAAAGTATATAGTATTAAGTAGTAACAATATATAGTAGCAACAGGAAACAACAAAAAAGTAAAGAATAGTCTTCGATTTCGTTTTGTTGACTGTTCAGTTCGATGACATACTATACACGTTATTATTGTCCCCGAATAATTTGTTGCATAAGTTAGCTAAGTCCATTAATGACAATCATAATTATATCCAAAAAAAAAATATGTCTCCGTCTAATCTAAAAGATCCACTACTAAATCATCTGTAACTAATTAGTAATTATATTCAATAATTAAAAAAAAAATCAAAATACTGTTAGCCCTTTAATTTTCCCAAAGGCAACTGTAATCGAATCAAGAGTTGTACATTGTATTTATGAGTCATGGAAATGAATATATTCAATTAATCTGACCCCTTACGAATTTTCTATGTCGCCCAACTAAATGATTCGAGATAATGTGACAATACATTTGATGAAGACCTATCTTTGACTATTAAAAAGATACCAGAAAATAATTCCTTATATAGTATTTCAAATTTCAAAATTTATAGAACTGGCTTCTTTTCCTATATAATAATAATAATACTCCAATTCATTTAATAAGATGTCAGAAAATTATTAGTTATTCCAATCCAGCCTATAAAATTTAAATTGTGGGTCCAATTTATTTACCAAAATTTCACTTAAACAAATGAGGATTAATATTTAATAGCCAAAATTCATAATAACCAAAATAAAGAAGTAAAGAAAATTTAGAAACCTTCTTGTTGCGACAGAAGTCTTGGTCACTCCAACACTTCTCATCAACATCCTTCTGAGTTCCAATGTTGTCTCTCCAAATTGAAGCTGTTAACGAAGAAGAGAACACAATCTTCTCTATACTCTCTGTTCTTCCACATGCTTCCACCACATTGATCGCTCCTCTCACTTCCAAATCCACATCCTTCTCCTATGATTGATGATAAATTCACACAAATCTCAATCTCGATCCAAACTCAGAATCTTAACAAAACATATATATGAGAAATGATGATTGATGAAGTCACTCACATCGTACCCTTCAGGGCTATCTAAGCAACAGAACACAACGTTACATGTCTTGAGAGAGACAAGTATGCTTTGATAATCCAACACATCTACATCGTACACCACTAATCTCTCTTCTTTTGTTTCCATCTCTCTGATCATCTCCTCAATTTCACTCTCCCCTAATTAAAAAACACAAATAAAACGAATCAAGAACCAAGAAAGACCTCGAAATCATCGGAAAAAACAAACCCGAAATCATTCGAAAAGAAGGGTGAAAGAAACAGAGAAAGATACCGTTTCTACGAATCGCTGCGTGAACAGAGTATCCTCTGCTAAGCAATTTCTTGAGAATCCAGAAACCAACATAAGTGGAAGCATCAAGAACGCAGCAACAAGAAGTGGACTTGTCGTGATCCATAATTTTGTTGCTTCTTGTGATTATTGATTGAATCACAGAGAGTTTAAACGAAAGCGTGTCTAGATGTGTGTGATGAAGAAGAAGAAGAAGAAGAAGGTTAGAAGTAGGAAGAGAGAAGAGGCAAGTATTAATAGGAGAAAGTTGGGTGAACTATTTTTCTGTTGCACGTTCCCAGCTACTCATCTTTTATTATACCTCATCTCTTATTTTACACTAAGTATTAGTATATCTTAATTTAATTATTTTGCCTCTCTAACCATCTTAATTAATAGCTTGGTTATCCAAAATCCACAAGTCAATCCCTTATTGGTTTTTGTTTACGTGTTGACAATTTTGGAACGTGTGTCTTCTTTCAGAAACACTCCAAAATTAGTAGTACCAGCTAATATCAAATTCCAATCGTCTTCTTATTTTGTTTCTTAGTATTGAATACTACAAATATATATAACCAAATAAAAGTAAAATAAATTATAAAATTAATGACAAATTGGAAAAATATTAATGATTTTGATTATCAAAAAAATACTGTTAATGTAGTATATATATCGAAAATTAGTTACTAAAAGTACATTTATAAACTAGAAATAAATATGTGAAAATTCTCATCGAATAAATATTAAACTTTGGATGATGCTGATTTTTTAAATTAGTTCTATATCTTTAGTTCAAACTAGACCAGTAATATTTAATAAAATTGCTGAACTCTCCTGATATTGTTAGATATGAGTATATTATTAAAACAACCTGAATATAAATGAAAGTTGGAATTAGAAAGATGTAGTTAGGTTTGAGAATGCCAAAATGGAACAAACTTGGGTCGGCAATTGCATAAGCAAAACTCACACAAAGGTGGCTTTTTAAAAGATAACTATAATATAGAATTTAACGATTGTAAAAATAAAATAAAATTTAAGTAGAAAAACTAAGGAGAAAATATAAGAGAAGAACTAATAAAAGCAAAACAGCGAAAGGGCGCTGGACGTAAAGTAGTTAGCAGTTAGTAGGTAGAGATTGTGGTGGGATGAGAATTTACGTGGGGAAGTTTCATCACAAGCCCCAACCTACCAACGTCTCGAAACTCTTTGTATATACTAATTTACTCTAAAAATGTTACCACTACATGTTCAGAGATTTGGTATTTAAGGGTTAAACTAATGTTTACATAGTTTGTGTTATTAACGAACGATCTATCATATTTATATAATCGAAAAGTTGTGATTGTAGAAAGATCCAAAAGATGTCTTGAATATATATTACGGAGATATTTTATTGATTTGTACGTGTTTTAATGTGAATTCATTAGTTATAAAATTAGGTTACATGTTAGGTCTAGATAACATGTATCCTTACTCTTATTTTAATGAGAATGAACATAATTCTTTCAAATACAAAATTCCTATCGTCACTCTAATGGTGATGATTGAGTAATGCGGCTTATTATATGTGCATTTAATTCCTCAAGTTTGCAACCATTCGTTTTTTTTTTTTCTGTAAGTGTTTTTAGCCATTCGGTCGCAAAGTTGCACTTGAGCTGTGAAATTCTGGCTCTTAATTAATTTCAAACAGTGATTCAACCATTTGATTTGATGTTTCTTTTATTGATGATGATGATGACTGATGAGAAGAAAACAATTCAATTACCTTTTCTAGGTCAACCTCTGGTTTTTTTTTTAATTGTTTACAATAAAATTAAAACTAAAGAAAATAAAAGGTTAAAGAATAAAACTTTTGTGTGGCTAACGATTGACGAATCAAGAAACCTCCGGGCCCAATCTGCGTGTCAACTTGAAACTTGAAAAGTGAAAAAGGGACGAGAAGAGAGTCGTCAGGGTAACACACGTGTCAGAATCTCAGATGTTTTCGTACTTTTGCCATGTAAGATGATGAACACTGCGTGTCTGTCTGAACAAGGAAAATCATTTTGTGAAAGAAAAAAAAACACAAAATTGGTAACGCTCATTGTATCAATTAAAAGCTCAATGAATGAAACTGAACTAACTTAGAGCCACGTGTTCGTAAATTAGGATCGTAATTTGATAAAGACCACACGAAAGTGTTTAGATTCCTTCTTTTGAGTTCAGAAAGTTGACTTGACTTGCATCGCATTTTCCGTTAACCTTATTCGATTTATCCCTTATATAAGAATAGACTTTGTTGAATAAGGATGATGATCCGATGGATCTTAGATGGCTATTCACCACCGACTTTCGGCCGTATCTTAAACTGATTATGTAACAGTTAATCTCATAATCATTTTAAGAGCAGACTCCGAAGTGAGTGGCGTAGGGTGTGGACTAAGAGATGAGACATGCAACATTTTCTGGTTCTGTGCGAAAACGATCCTGCAACATTTGGTGGATGATTGAGAGTATTCAGAAGCGGCATTTCATGGAGGTCATCACTTTCGAAGAGAATGCGAAATAGTTTAGTGGAAGTACATATTGAACAAGGCAGATAGTTTGCTAAGTCTATTATATATTTATTTTACATGAGATTGAGAAAACCTGACAAGTCTTGATTAGGGTGGAAGTTACATTTAGACCAAGGACGCCAATAAAATAACATGTTTTTAATTAAGCAACAAAATCCTTTGAGAAATATGCACTTGCAGTAGATTCTTGTGTACCAAATTGGTAAAGGGTTTGGTTAACAGCTATAAACCAGCTATGTATATTGGTGGTAAACGATAAATCAGCTATGTGTACCAGTAATCATCAATAAAAACCTTCTGGTGAGAAAAAAAGTATATTTAACATAGTGAAGGTATGAGAAAGTATCACTGGCCAACCACCTAAGGGCATGATTATCAATGGTTTCTTAACAATAACTCTTAGTAATTTTTTAGTATTAAAATCTTAAGATTTACCTCTTACAAACATGTTTTGGCTCTTAGCTAAGAAACCTTTCTTACCAATCTTACCATTTGCCATTTAATTAAATACTTTTTAATACTTAAGATTTATCTAAGATTTGGCTAAGAGCCTACCAATAATCATGGTCTAAGGGCCTTATTTTTGTTTCAACATTGTTCGGCCCAAACTTCAAATTTCTCTGGATCAAGTCCATGCATATATTTTCATCCTCCGAATTTACGTGGTTCTAACTTCAAACTCCTAAACACGATAATTTATTCAACAAAAAATGATCATAGCATATATAAAATATAGTTATAGAGGATAAATTTTATAAAAGACAGAATAAAATGAGGCTTCTGTTGTGTCTGTTGTCAAAAGTCAAAGTGCGAAATTTACTAAATCACTCTATTTGTCTAGTCGAAATCGCGTCATGCTTTAAATTCAGTAAAAAGAATCTGGTGAAGGATTAATCGACAATTACATTTATTCTAGGAAATTAGTTGGATGATAAAACTCGGAATCATTTTTGTGAAACAAAAAAACTGCTAGGAAAAACAATTCTTCCAAAATAATTGTTAAATATTAAAATTAGATGCATGACCGACCTACTATAGGTCCACTTACGGAGAGATAGATAGTGGATCAGACACCGAAGGACTGTTCATTGCAACGTTGTACATTTTTGAATCCACATATTTATTTTCGTGCAAAAACAATCATTTACACGTTTATCATTTTCTTCTCGATCTCTATCTTCATCTTTTTTTTTTTTTCTATCTTCATCTTTTATGTGCAAGAGTTACGTGGAAGCAACCAGAACTCTACTTTAGTTTGGTTTAATGTTGAAATTGGTTCAAGGGAGGATTAGCATTCCAGTTTCTGTTTACATTCCGGCGCCGGTTCATCGTCATACTTAGACATTCTCTCCAACCTCGCTTAAACCCTATTCTTTGCAATAATGATCTGCAAACTATGTTTGACGTACGAGAGCTAAGGCTATAATGAAGCAATGTTCCATCAAATATTCTGGCTCTTTGAAACAGAATGAAGAGATTTATTTATTAATTATTGATGATTCGGAGTTTTTTTGTTTAACTTTGATTCAAAAAGTATTAATTCAAAAACAAAGATGTTATTGTGGTTAGAGATCGATTTGGGTGAAAATCAAATTTAGGGTTCGTCAAGAAACCTGAGATCCATTTCGACTGGATGTAGATTTGGAGGATTCGAGCAAAGGCAAAATGAAGTTTCTATTTTAAACAGTAAAGAATAACAAAAGTATTATCCTCGTTGACAAACAAACAAAACAAATTTTCCTTGTAAATATATAGATATTGACATTGTAGATGCGATAGGTCCATGTTTATAAAATTATAGTAATATAGAATTTTAATTTGGTTAAACCTAATTAATGATTGCAAGCTATATCTCTTATATATATACTAGCTAGAACCTTCAAGTTTTGAATAATATTTTCTGTTGCTAAAATTTAAAAGTAAGCTATACGTAATTAATGATGGTAAGATTACTTTTTTTTTTTTGTAGCAAAAAATAATAATTTAAAAGTAATCTTACCTAGTAAATTGATAAACTATTAACGAGTAAAAACAAACGTAACAATTAATGTATAAGTATATATTACCCGTTGTGATTATAAAGAATTATTAATCATTTGATTTTAATCTTGATTGAAAAAAGTGATTTTTATTTTTGGTTGTTTTAGAAATAACGTGCTGAGTTTTGATTAAATTAATAACCAATATTGTAACGATTATGATATGGACACAACTTTTGACTTGTAGGATTTTCACTACCATATTAATATGCTCTGGAACGCCTATAAATACCTTCAACATATTGTGTCATATTCATCAAGAGCACTGCAAAAGCACTCTAAATTGGGGGGAAAAAAAAGCATTACCAAACACCAAATAAATATGTCTCTGAGTAACTCATCATCACTCATTCTAATAACTTTGATATTGGCCACATCAGCCCTAGTCTCCGAGAGCCGGGTCGCAAGAAAAGACTTGGGTTTGGACCTCGGCGGGATAGGGATCGGTGTTGGTATTGGCATAGGTATCGGTGGAGGTGGATCCGGATCCGGAGCTGGTGCAGGGTCTGGATCCGGAGGAGGAGGGTCAAGCTCTTCTTCCTCATCTAGCTCTAGTTCTTCTTCCAGCTCCGGTGGTGGAGGAGGTGATGCAGGATCCGAAGCTGGATCCTACGCCGGATCACGTGCCGGGTCTGGTTCGGGAGGACGTTCCGGGTCAGGCCGCGGAAGAGGAAGTGGAGGAGGAGGGGGTCACGGTGGAGGAGGTGGAGGAGGAGGGGGTAGAGGTGGAGGAGGTGGATCCGGTAACGGAGGAGGGTACGGTGAAGGCGGTGGATATGGTGGAGGATATGGTGGTGGCGACGACTGAATGAAGAATATTGCATGCATGCAATATCACATCGTGCAATATTTTGTTTTGTATGTAATTATATGATGTTATTATATAAAAAAAATAAAATGCTAGAAAAGTAAATTTTCTAAAGTGTGTGAGTAAAGGAGATGGAAAAGGATGAATTCTAATGTGTTTGGTTACTTATTATATACTCTTCCATATTCGAATTGGATTCTTGGTGTTGTATTTGTTTTACATTTGTACTATAAGTTGTAATTTCCCAATTTAAATAGTTGAGAAAATAAATGTTTTTTTTTCCATCACTGAGAAAATAAATGTTATATATGTAGCATTTTTATTCCTTTGTTTCTTCTTTTTTCCTTCGGTATATTGCTTATACCAGCAAATAACATACATATAACACAAAAATATGATTTTATGTATATCAAACAACTGAAAGAGCAAACACGTTTTGGAGACTCGTCGTTCAGCTAAACAAAAAAGACATCAACCAAACAAAGGTTATATCATGAACACAATTCAGCTCTGTTTTGTTTCTTTTTATAAGAATTCGATTTGCATTTTTATGGTTTGTCATGTGTAACGTTCAATATCTTAGATAAAAACATATATGTAAAAAAAATGATAAACGAACCAATCCGTAATATACATAATTTAGATATGTATTATCTGCATAAGAACTTCTGATAACTTAAGAGCACCTCTTACAATTTGGGTTTAAAGTTTAAACTCAAGCATAATAAGTCGTTTACAATTAATGGATTTAACTAAGCAAACGTGTTTGTATTAGATCCAAATAATTAAACAGCATCATCGTTATCATAATTATATAGAACTATTGGTGTCAGCAAAAATGTTTTGTAAGTGACAGCCAGAGAATAATTTTCTCTTTAAGTAGTGACTTTTATATTCTATATGAGAATTGAACATTATGGGTCATTCATAGCAATAAAAACATAACCAATGTGACATGTATAGTTTCGATCTTTCTCGAACAATGATTTTAAGCACGTGTCATAGGTTGAATAAATAATTCATAGTGGAACCATAGATTATTGACCACATACGAGTGATTAGTTTCAGCGTGCATAATCCACTACCACGTTTCCACTCATTTTAGTGGACCGTCGACTCTGGTGGGTTTGGTAGCAGCAAAAGATAATGCACACATCACCGGCATCTACATTTTAAAAATATGCACTTGCCAGTTCTATTATCCTGAAAGTTTGGTTAGAATTAAACTAAATTGAGATAATACTCTTATTATGCATTTCAGATTGATGTAAAACTGTAAAATATAATGACGTAGTGAAACCTCAATTTTGTCACTAAACGAGTTTTTACTTCATCAGTGGTTTTAATAAACCTTGCGAATTGACTTGGGTTTAGCTACTAAGACTTATTTTCTTACATACTTTGTAATTCATCACACCTCGGAATGCAATTTCATTTTGCATCTTGCCAAGCAAAACACATTTGTCTAGACTAGACATGTGTTTAATTAGTATTCGTGGTTCTTTAATGTAAGTATGAGTAAACTATACATAACAAACCCAAATATGATATACGTAGGTTGAATTATATTTGGTGATTTACACGTAACGGCTCACACTATCCTAAAACTTCTATAAATACACGAACATGTTATTCATTTTTGTATCTAATCAAGTTACACTATAAACTCAAATACATCGATCGATATCGGCAAGTCTTAACACACGAAGATTTCCAAAATGGCTAGGGCCCAAGGTCTTTATCTTCTTGGTTTATTAGTTATTTCAAGTTTAGTTATGTTAACCGAGAGCCGAGTCGCAAGAAAAGACTTGGGGCTTGACCTAGGTGGGATTGGAATCGGTTTGGGCGTTGGATTGGGGATTGGTCTTGGCGGCGGGTCGGGCTCCGGTGCTGGTGCAGGTTCTGGATCAGGTTCAGGTTCCAGATCATCATCTAGCTCTAGCTCGTCATCAAGTTCGAGTTCTAGTGGTTCGGGTGGTTCAGCTGGTTCATCTGCTGGTTCATTTGCTGGATCTAGAGCTGGATCAGGATCTGGTAACTAAATTATAATATGCAGTTAATTTTCTACTTAAAGTGTGAAACTATAAGTATGTTTTATGTTCTTGGTTTGTTGTAATTAGTATCGTATGTACGAAATTGGATAAATAAATTGTCGTCATAAGTTATGTTTTGTTTGAGTGTGTACCTAGCTTTCTCTATTCAAGTATTTCGCCAAAAAGAACTCTTCATTGGCCGGCCGTAGAATCTCTTTAGATTTGGATCAGAGCATGTTCAATCAATCGTAAATTGGTTATTCGAATTTGAGAATAATCTTCAAAAAAAGAAAACAAGTTTCCAAAATTTTTAATAAGTTAATCAAACCCATATGTATGACCACAGGTTATAGTTACCGGATTAATATAGGACCAGATTTTGATATTAAATATTAATTGTGATAGTCATATACTGAACTCTAAAATTAAAGGTATTTACAAATCTATGACAAATTGTTAAACTCTTAAAAGTTCAAATGAATCCAGTGTTGCGTCATTTAAGAAAGAATTCCATGTTTTTGTTACAAAATTTGGACTTCTGTTCAATTAAAAGGAGTTTTTCAATTATATTTAATCGAGTTAGTGCACCTAATGATGATAGTATGTATTGTAATAGCCTAATAGGAACTTCAAATTTTTTAACGATTGTGTTTGTAGTATATGACACGTTTACAAAACAAAGTTGACATGTTCTTTGTAATCCCCCAGTAATAAATAAATAGAAACGTCTGGATGGTTTTGAATACCGGTGAATATGTTCAATATAGATGAACCAAACCGAATAGAAAACATGAAAGTTTTGATATGAAATTAGAAATTTGTTACAGTTAGATTTGTTTTATTTTTATATGTATCCTCACCATGTACAAGATTCCACTTGAAGAAGAAAACTAAACCGGGAATCTATTGATTACCAATAAAATTATAAAATACAACAAATAAAATAATAACTTTCTTACAATACAATCCAACATACTCGAAGGCTTACACCAACCTCAGTGTAATTTGGCCTCTCTAGGTACATATTGTTCCGCAAAACCTAACCCAATGATTAAAGTGTTAAACGTCCTAGTTTTTTTTATTAGTTATTGCTGTTATAATATCAAAATTCCATTATAATAATTAATAAATGAAGCAATGCATTAGGAATTTAGGACTTAAGCATGGTAGCTTCAAGACAAAGATTCAAAAAATGGTTAAATAGTGCTATTTATATAAGTACTAAACTTGATGGGTCCTAATTGCTTACTCCATGCATTATTTTTAGAAAAATATAATTCGTAAATCAAACAGGATCTCGCAAATCTTTTCTTGCCTAAATAAAATTTTAGTCTGGAAACAAAGAATCTTCTTTAACAAAAGAAAAAAAAAACAAAGAATCTTCCCTATATAAAAATAAACAAAATAAGAATCTTCCCGAATAAACAAAAAATAATAAGGGAAGAAATATGAAAAAGCCAAAGCTAAACGTTTCATGTAAAGAGTAAATCCGAAATACCAAATAACGAATTCTTATCAAATATAATCTTATCAAATTCTCTCTAAATTACTTTAAGTGATGTTTTAGAGAAAAGTTTTGGGAAAATGTTTGCCAGCTACACGAAAGAGACACCATCACATAGTCACACATGCAAACTTTATAAATGTCACATTAGCTACACGAACTATTGCTATCACATACGGACATCCCCGAACTAACATAAGTCATGTTGCCAACACCATAACCATCTAATTCCAGTGTACCGGTTGCCGGAATCCGGCGTTGACCGACATTGACCGGTGTTGACCAAAAATATTTTTTTTTCTTTTTAATTATTTTTGATAAAAAGAATTTTGCAAAAATAAATTATTATATAATTTTATTAGAAATTAAATAAAGTATACCAAATATAAATATACCATAAAAAATTATACAACAAACTTTTGGTATATATTTTTGTAATATAACTAAATATACCAAAAAATAGACCATGAATTTTTGTTTGTGCTATATTTTGTTATAAAATTTTGGTAATATAACAAAATATACATTTTTTAACAAAATTTGCTATATTACAAAAATTTTATTAACAAAATGAAAGTATATAAATTCATTTTTCTCCATTGTTTCTCTTTAATTTATAAACATCATAATATATGCTTTGATTTGTGGTTTTTACAAAGATATATATATATATATATATGTGAGTTTGGTATATACTTTCAATTACATGTTATATATATATATATATATATATATATATCAAAGGTCATATATTATTTTCAAAAGAAGATTGCCAAAAGGAAAAGATATATTTTGTTATATTACCAAAATTTATAACAAAATATAGCACAAGAAAAATTTGTATTTTATTTTGTTAATAAAATTTTGGTAATATAACAAAATATATATTTTCTTTTTTTATGGTATATTTTGTTATATTTTAAGTAAAATTATATTTTTTTAAAAATTTCTTTTTATCAAAAAAAAATAAAAAGAAAAACATATTTTTGGTCAACGCCGGTCAACATCAGTCAATGCCGGTCAACGCCAGATTCCGGCAACCGGTACACTGGAATTAGATGGTTATGGTGTTGGCAACATGACTTATGTTAGTTCGGGGATGTCTGTATGTGATAGCAATAGTTCGTGTAGCTAATGAGACAGTTTTAAAGTTTGCATGTGTGACTATGTGATGACGTCTCTTTCGTGTAGCTGGCAAACATTTTTCCAAAAGTTTTTTGTTTCACTTACGTGATGTATATATTAACTCTATATTTTACGAAAAACATATTATAAAAAGTATTAATCTATTTTAAAAATGCAGGAACAGAGCAATCAAAAAGGAACAGACCAAATACGTTTTTTTCACAAATAAATGATAGAAATATAAAAGAAAAACAACCATACCAAATTTATAATATTAACTGTGCACACACACAAAAAAAAAGATGTAAGATAATTAGTTTTATTTATCAAAAATAAATAACGATAATCAGTTCTAAAAGAAAATGGTGAATGAATCAATAAATAGCAAAGCACCGTCCAAAATTACTGGGTAACGCCGGTAGATACAAGATCTGGAAAGACTACAGTCTCTCCCGATACTTCCGGTTCCCGGTGAGAGATGGCCCATCCCTTGTCTTTAATGGTGAAACCGTGACTTGGGGAAGCGGTAATTAGAGAAGCATGGAAACGGCAAGCAGTTTTTTTTTATGAACATGTCATTCTCTCATCGCTTTCCCAAAACAGCCAATGGTGATTGCTGTGGTCCGCACGTCCTCCCACACATTATCCTGTTTCAATATTTTGTATTTTTTTTTTAATAAAATTATTATTACACTGATTAATTAAAAAAATATAATAGAGATCTTTTTAAGATTTGAGTATAAAATCTCAAATTTATTTTGACCAAAGTGAAAATAATGTATCAAATTTTATTACACGCTACTTGACCCAGTGCGGGCCAGTCGGCAAAATCATACAAAATCACTAGTATAATTTAGTAAATTACTTTTATCACTATATTTAAGTAGTAAATTACTTTACTAATTAGTTACACATAAAAAATAACTTTTATTTATTTATCTTCTTTTGCTATATGAAATTCGAAGCCACACTGCTCTAAATGCATACACCATTACATATCACAAGAACTACAACTTATTGATAAAAGTTTTTAAATGCCACCGATTATAAAAGTTTTTGTTTAATAAATGTGAATGTGGATTGAAGATAAATATACTTTTTATCCACAGACCAAGCCTTGCAAGCCGGACTTTGTTTTATTAGAGCACCATCCTGAAAAACAAACCACACCCGGCGATGACCTAGGCATGTGGTGGTCTTTATGAAGTTTAGACAAAATTAGTTGTAAGTCGGTCGCACGTTCTTGTTTACAATTTTCTAATTAAATTTTGATTAGAGATAACATGTGTTAATTGTTGAATGAGTTAAATGCTGTGAGTGTTTTTAGACGCTTTCTTTCACACATTTATGTATGATTTCAAGTTGTATAGAAAATGCAAAATATTTCAAATCATAACAAAAATATACATAATCTGAAACTCAAGTGAATCTCAAACCATATCTCACACTTCAACATTAGGAAAATAAAAACAAAAAAACCAAGACGCCATAAAATTAACTTTTGTTTTAAATGCCTCCTTAAATTGCGGTAAATTGGTGAAAAAAAGATTGCGGTAGATTTAGCATTAATCCAGTTTTTTACTACATAATTAGTAGATTCTTTTTTCTTTTTTTTTTTTTTTTTTTTTTTGTCAACCTTTTTTCTTTCTTTCTGTAAACAAATAATTAGGATTGTTTTTCTTTTTGTCAACAAATATTAATTTTGTTATAAAAGAAAAAAGAAATTGACAATCTGGCAATCAAATTAACGCGTCTCCTTGTCCCCTATCCTCACCTGTATATATACTTCTCCGTCTCTTCCTCTTCTCCTTAGCAGATGCTTTTTGGAAAAAAATAAATAAACCAAAAAAAAAAAAATCTGCATCTGTCTTCTTCCTTCTTCCCTCTAAATTTAATTACCCATTTTTTCCGATAAATTTTTTGTTGAGGAAGAAATTTTTTTGTAAAGAGAGTTTAATTAATTATGCCTTCAATAGAAGATGAGCTGTTTCCGTCAACGCCGGGTAAATTCAAAATTGACCGGTCAAACCGTCAGCTCCACCGTTGTTTCGCTTCTACGAGCACCATGTTTCTTTGGGCTCTCTTCCTCATCGCTCTCACCGCTTCTTACTTGAGTTTCCAAAGCTTCGTCGATTCCGGTAGCCGTTATCTAACCGCTTCTTGGGGCGGAATCCAATGGGAGAAACAGGTTCGTACCTCCGCTCAGATCCATCGCTCCGGCGGTATCTCCGTCCTCGTTACCGGCGCTACTGGATTTGTCGGTAGCCACGTGTCACTTGCGTTGAGGAAACGCGGCGATGGTGTCGTTGGACTTGATAATTTCAACAATTACTACGATCCGTCGTTGAAACGCGCTCGCAGATCTCTGTTGTCGTCGAGAGGGATCTTCGTCGTTGAAGGAGATCTCAACGACGCGAAGCTGTTAGCGAAGCTTTTCGATGTCGTTGCTTTCACTCACGTGATGCATCTCGCTGCTCAAGCCGGAGTTAGATACGCTTTGGAGAATCCTCAATCGTATGTTCATAGCAACATCGCCGGACTTGTGAATCTTCTCGAGATTTGCAAAGCGGCGAATCCTCAGCCGGCGATTGTTTGGGCTTCATCGAGCTCCGTCTATGGACTCAACGAGAAAGTTCCCTTCTCCGAATCTGACCGTACAGATCAACCGGCGAGTCTCTACGCCGCAACGAAAAAAGCCGGCGAAGAAATCACCCACACTTATAACCATATTTACGGTCTTGCCATTACCGGTTTAAGATTCTTCACGGTTTACGGTCCATGGGGTAGACCGGACATGGCTTACTTCTCCTTCACCAGAAACATCCTACAAGGTAAACCGATCACAATCTACCGGGGCAAAAACCGGGTCGATTTAGCCCGGGATTTTACATACATCGACGATATAGTCAAAGGCTGTTTAGGATCTCTAGATTCATCGGGTAAAAGTACCGGGTCGGGTGGTAAAAAGCGTGGAGCCGCACCGTACCGGATATTTAACCTGGGAAACACATCTCCGGTAACGGTACCGATTCTGGTGGATATCTTGGAGAAGCATCTAAAGGTGAAAGCAAAACGGAACTTCGTGGAGATGCCAGGAAACGGCGACGTACCGTTCACACATGCTAATATTAGCTCAGCACGAAATGAATTCGGGTATAAACCGACAACCGATTTGGAAACCGGGTTGAAGAAGTTCGTTAGATGGTATCTTTCTTATTACGGATACAATACTAAAGCCAAGCTTGTACATTAACCGTGACTATTATTATTATTTTTAATGAAATTATTTTTTTCTTTCTCCCATACAATTTATATGTTTTTGTTCTTTAGGATTATAAAAATCTAAATTATTCGTTTCTCTTAAGACAAGCAAAAACCAAAAAAAGAAGGACAGCGTATACCGCGTTAATTTAAAATTAATCGTGATTGTGTTAATCTTGAAATAAATTAGAACATTTTTGTTTTCTTAATACAGAATTGATTGATGTAAGCAAATATTTTCCTACCAAAATTATTTGTTACGGATCTTTAGAAAAAGGTACTACTATTAATTATAAGAGAAAATTAAAAAAAAAAGGGAATAAGGACAGCTGGGAAGAGTGGGGACAGCAGAGAAAGTGGTGGTGTACGGTAACCGTTGGATCCGGTGAGGAATTTAAATAAGGGAGTCGTAATCTTACGGTCCAGCTGTAAGTACTCATGCCACGTTATCTTCTCCACCGACAGTACCATTGTTGTGCTATAGGCCTATAGCTAATTAAATCATTTGTATTTTAATGGTAAGCAAAGAGGAAACTATGTCGAAGTTTATTATTAATACTCTCGTCTTTTAAGTTTTTGGTCTATAATCATTTTTTAGTATGTGAAGGTGAAGGTGAGTTAAGTGTGTGATTTTTAGTATGATTTGGTTGATAACGTTTTCACTTGACTAATAATACTTCAGAAGTATAGTTTTAGAATAACAAAATAATTGAATGATTGAATATTGGAGACATTTTAACCGATCTTAATAGACTAATGACGTAGTCCTTATTTGTTCTTTTTAACTAAAATATTGGGATCATCACTGTTTGAAAACGTGAAATGTGATACTAAAAGTTATGAATGATTAGAATGTACAATAATCATATTTCCAAAATGTGAAAGAGTGATATACAGTTATTCATCCAACTTTATGACATTCTTTTACATTTCCACTCTAAACTCCAAAAACAAAGACTCAAATTTCTAAGTTTAAATCTTGTGTGTGTGTTTTTGTTCGTTTTGCATGCCCACCAATTACATTTTTGCTAAACCAAATGAATTAGCTATTTATGGTGGGTCATTGGGTGAAATCAAGTACATAGTTTAAGAATGATAAACTTATCAATTTAGTTGTTAGAAACCAAAAACAGATCAAATAAAAGTGGTCAAATGCACAAAATAGATCTCTTAATAATAGTTAGAGACCCTAGTGATCTCGACCGTACGAAAATATTATGTACCGTTTTCTGTTTTTGGACGATTTAATTTAGTTCGTTAATTACGCTCTTACTGTTATTGCACATATATATAATGATGCATATGCAGCTGAGGAACATATAATTCCGTTTAAACTCGATGCTAACCTTTTCGAACCAGCTTAATAATATATGGAGTCTTTTACCGTAAAAAAAAAAAATCCGTTTAAACAGTTCCAAAGCTTATATCTGTATAGGTAGGAATTTTATAATCATTGTGTCATGGACTCATGGGTTATGCTTGTCGGGCTTTGACCATAATGCAGAGATAGGACTAGCTTTTACTTAACTTTTAGAGAGTTAACTGGTTGGTCTAGTCGTCTAGAGATAAGTGGAGATATATAGTGTCTTTGAGTTTCAAGTTGAGAAGAGAAGGCAAGACAAGACTCTCAAGCAATCAGAGGTTTTGATTGACAAAATATCCACAAGGCCCATACCAAGTTGAAGCCCATCTTGTAGAAGTCATTCAAGATTAAGCCGAAGCCCATCTCGTACAAAAAAGGAAAGAGATTTGTAAGCAACAAATAATATTCTTTGATATACTTACAAAAATAACTAAATAAGGATAAAATATCTATTAGTCAAAACCTATAAATCTTGAAACTCAATCACTCCCTTCAAAAGCGCGTGAGAGTTATGAGACATTCCTTAACTCAAAAGTTTAGAACTTTTGAAACCGAAACCAACCTTTGAATCTTTGATGAAGAAGAGACATTAGTACTCGTCGTGTAGCCATATAAGGCAATAACGAAACTTCTTCGCTAATCTCTTCACCTTCCTCTACGCGTTTTACTCTCACTTTATAAATCCAATTCTCTTGACAAACTATAGTCTCTTGACAAATGACAACTCTTCACAATGCAGAAGTTTTTTTCCATGTAGTGTATTGCATTTTTTTTTATATTTCCATTGTTTGATCCTGATATTGATCAAGCTTTACTTTTATTATGTATATAGTTGATATTTCTTTTAATATGAAGATCAAGATTGTACCAAAAGAATCATCTGAAGATAAACTTGATTAGTTGCGGATTATATAATGTAACGTCATATATTAATTTTCTATAGTCACAATGTTCCAATAACTTGAAAATACGCGTGGGAAACACGGTACAATGATCAGCTTACTCAGCACTTCTACTGTTCCACACGTTAAGTTATGTCATATGTGACACAGTCTCGATACCACTTAATATTTTCCATCAAAAAAAAAAAAGAGATCTGTAAGAAATACATTCTTTGATATTCTTATCAAATTAAGTGTAAATTATTTATTAGTCAAAATCTATAAATCTTAAAACTCACAATCACTCCCATGAAAAGCGCGTGAGAGTTATGAGATATTCCTTAACTCAAAAGTTCTAAACATTTGAAACCGAAACAACCTTAGATGAAGAAGAGACATTAGTACTCGTCGTGTAGCCATATTAGGCAATAGCGAAACTTCTTCGCTAATCTCTTCACCTTCATCTACGCGTTCCACTTCCACTTTATAAATCCAAATCTCCCTTCATAAACCTAATCACACAAATCCTTATCTAGTTTTCTCCAAATCTTCAATAATCACCATGGTACGTTTTAGTAACAGCCTTGTAGGAATACTCAACTTCTTCGTCTTGCTCCTCTCGGTTCCGATTCTCTCAACAGGAATCTGGCTTAGCCTTCACGCCTCGACGCAATGCGAGCGATTTCTCGACAAACCCATGATCGCTCTCGGTGCTTTCCTCATGATAGTCGCAATCGCTGGAGTCGTTGGATCTTGGTGCAGAGTGACGTGGCTTCTCTGGTTCTATCTCTTTGTTATGTTCTTCTTAATCCTCATCGTCCTCTGTTTCACTATCTTTGCCTTCCTTGTTACTAGTAAAGGCTCTGGTGAAACTATCCAAGGTAAGGCTTATAAAGAGTATAGGCTTGAGGCTTACTCTGATTGGTTGCAGAAGCGTGTGAACAACGCTAAACATTGGAACAACATTAGAAGCTGTCTTTATGAGAGCAAGTTCTGTTCTAACTTGGAGGTATACGCTCGTCGTGAGCCTGTTTCTGCTTTCTACAAAGAGGATCTCACTCCTCTTGAGGTAACCAATTTTGAAACTCTTTTTAGGCAATTTGATTTAGAGATTGAGATAGGTCAAAATGTCTTTTTTCTTTAAGGGTTTTTAGTCTGATCCTTTTCGTCTGCATCATGAATTTCTACACAAGTTTTGATCCGTGGAGTCTAAAATAATACCAATTTCAAAGCTTTTGATTTCACTCACAAAGCTTTATTGTTCCCTGGTTATATATAGTGAATCTAAAAGCTTTAATCTCATGTGATTAAGGGTTTTAGTCCTGATCCTTGTCATTATTCTAACTCTATGATTGAATCTTGATGGTTTCTTGTATACAGTCTGGTTGCTGCAAGCCCTCTAATGACTGTAACTTCATCTACATAAATGCAACAAGTTGGACCAAAACATCAGGAACACAAAAGAACTCAGATTGCCAACTTTGGGACAACGAAAAGGATAAGCTTTGCTACAATTGCCAAGCCTGCAAGGCCGGTTTTCTCGACAACCTCAAGAGCTCATGGAAAAGAGTTGCTATTGTCAACATCATTTTCCTTGTACTCCTCATTATCGTCTACGCTATGGGATGTTGCGCCTTCCGAAACAACAAAGAAGATAGTTATGCCCGTTCCAGTGGTTTCAACAATCCTTGATTTCCCCGGTTTTTATTCTCGTTAATTAGGAGTATGTTAGTCTTTGTTCAAGACTTTGATTTTTCATTAATAACTCATTTAACATTTATTATAGCAAACACAGCTTTCAAAATTTAAGAAACAGTAAAATGGAATAATCTTGAATTAGTCTAGTTGTTGATGTGTTTGGATTTCTTCTGTTGATTTGTGTTTGGACAGAAGAGGATTCTTCAGATCTCTGTTACAGATTATTGTGTTTGAAGAATCTTCTATATGAATCTTCACTTCTGAGTCCTGATCATTGTCTATCTGATCTTGATTCATCATAACATCTTTTGCTTTACCCCATAGCACAGTGTAAAGTCCCATTATCACCCCTAATCCTCCGATTAAACTATTCCAAAAGATCAAAAAGTTATAAAACAGATTATTGAATTGTAGTTATCTTAAGTTCTTATAAGATTATGTTTTTTTACCTGCCAGTGTAAATCTCTTCATGGAAGAACAGAGCAGCCAAGATTGTAACAATGACTGTACAAAGAGGATTAAACAGTGCAGAGAACACTGGACCTCTCTTTGCAATAGCCCAAGCTTGGACCGTAAACGAAAGTGCCGATGCCCCAATTCCCTAGCCAATGAATTCCATGATTAGAATTTATGTTAATGACTGCCAAAGAAAGAAAGGAAAAAGGAACAGAGGAATGTTATATATGCATACTGCGTAGAGACATGTCGCAAACTCGGTGTAGGAATGGAGAATCCAAGCGTTTGGATCCTTCTCTAGGAAGAAAGTGACGACTGCACATTGTATCGTTCCGAATAAGCACATCCATGCTGATAAAGAGAGGTTATCTGGATAGTAGGCAGAGATTGGAACCTAGGATTTTGTTGAAACAAAGTTTCAGTTTTCTTGTAAGGCAAGAAACTTTACAAACAAAAAAGTTTAGGAACTATTTATTAAATGAAGTTTACCTGAAGTATAAGCCAAAAGGACCAGCAAAGAGTGCTAGAGAACAAGAACAAACAACCAATCAACCACGTGTTCTGGTCTTTAAGATTTCCTAATACCGATTTAGCGATTGGTAAAGCGGATTCTGAGTTGAGAATCTTTGGTCCACGAAGCAGAGTCATGGAGATCGCTCCTGCTACACAGAGGATCGTCCCTGCGATCTTTGCTAAGCCTCTTATATCTCGGAGATTCAGTTTCTCGTATCTAAAGATCAGAGATAATTAGTAACAACACATAAATCTTGTTTTCAAAAATTCCATATAAATGTGTATATGCATATACCCGGCGAGAAATGAGATGAGGAAGGTGATTGCAGGGATGATGTTACCCACTGCACTTCCCATCGACGATGAAGTTAAGTAAAGACCTTCAAGATATAGATTTTGATTTATTGTAATGCTGCAAACAAATGATAAGAATAAGCAAAATTGTCCAAGATTCATCTAATTGGAGTTCTTAAGAAATTAAATTTAATATTCACTTACCCTATAAGCGAGACCAAGAATATTAAAGAAAAGCTCTTTAGATCCAAAGAAGATATGGCTATCTTTGATTTTCTCCTACAATTAATCCCAAAAAAAAATTTCATTGGCCAGTAAGAATTAACTATGTTAGGATCTCACATCGTAAGTTAGAAAAAAACTTATAAATAATATATATACGAAATGTGAATCAATTAGCTCATTTCCACTTGTTTTGGGTTAGAAAGAAACCAATGAAACTTCACAAATTTTATTTTCACATAATCATTTAGGGAATATAAAGAAAGGTGATTCTGAAACAAATTATGAATTCACATTTCCATTTGGGAGAGAGGGATGATTTTAATTACCTGGATAAGTAGAGAAATGGGAAGATGAAAATGGTTGCAAAGGCTTGCCTATAGAGGATAAAAACCCGAGGGCTTAATCCATGAACCAAAGTAGCTCTTGCAAAGAGAGTCACTCCAGCATAACACAGTTGAATCATCGTCATCGCCATTACCGGCTTGTACTCCTCTATCTTTCCCATCTCTTCTCTCTTTCTCCCTCCTCGTGAATCTCTTTAGATCTTTATGCTATGTATATGTATATATTGTTAGGACGATCTTGTTAATTATATTAACTATTAATCATCATGCATGATAATAGTTAATTATATATGCTTAACGAATAATGTTTTATTCGGTTGGCCAATACGTACTTCTTTGTCTTATTGTGGTTTTAAATATTCATTTGGTTTTTTGGTCGAAGTTGGATGTACTCGGCATCGTATCATCTATTGTTGTTGGAGTGAACAAATCCTTTACGAAAGACTAAACCATATTTGTGTTAAATTATATATGTTCAAAATCGAAATTATAGGATAGTACAACTAAATTATGCCTCAATTGTTCATACTAAAGTTGCAACAATAAATTTATAAACAGGAGAACAGAGTAACTCTTTTTATTAACAATGACTGAAATCGGTGATTTTTGAGGTAGGCGGCGCTTTTCTTTCTCTTGGTAATGATTTGTGGTCCAGATCTTGTTTTTAGGAGTGTTTTCAGCTATTTATAGTTTAAGTGCTGATCTAGGGTTCATTTTATCTCCCTTGTGATTTTCCCTTTTCGCCCTCCTAAATTAATGATGATGCCTTAACGGGCCGAGCCGAATGAAGATGGGCCAATCCGTCACACTGTTGGGCCAAACCATCTTCATGTGGGCTGATCCGCCATGCTGCTAAGCCTAACTGTCGTTTTGTTGGGCCGAACCGTTGTTTTGTCAGACCAAACCATCGTCCGGTAACTTTTGTTGGACCGATTTTATCATCATAAAACTTTTTAACCCAACTACTCTCTGTCTCAATCACACATATAGTTTTGATCAAAAACTTGGGTTGGCTGATTTTATAGCCATAAACTAGTTGCGTTCTCAGCTTTTCCCCCCAACCTTTTTGCCCCTGAAAATTCCACCATAAACTTAGATAATTCTCACAATTGCAACATGTACTTTCGGATTCATCCTTAAAACTACGCCTCCAATTGAACCGGCCAATAAACCGGTATCACATAACCCGGTTTGATTTAATTCAAATTTAACCAAATTTAAACCTGATTTTGACCAAAATTTTCTTCTTCCTCTTCACCCGATTTTGACCAAAATTTTTTTTCTTCCTCCACCACCATTTGGTCCACGCGTACCTCGTTTACATCTTCTCCCTTCTTCCTCAGCTCAATCGAATAATCCTTCCCACCTTGTTGACTCCGTCGATGGCGGCGCGGAGACCAGGAACCTCGGCTTCTTCTTCACCCACGATGTCTCCGTCGCATCGGATGAACAGCGGCGGAGCAGGAATCTCGGGCAAAAGCACGCTACGGAAGCAAAACGCCGTCGAGCTGCTCGCGAAAGTCATGGAGAAGCACGACTATGATTATGATTACGACGATGAAGACGGAGGCGAAGATCTGTACTAGGTACATCTTCCGCCTCTTACTCAGTCTCGAAGACGAGATGATAAGCGTATTGGTAAGGGTTCAGTCAACGAGAAAAAGGCTCCGGCGAAGAAACCGATCATTCTCCCGCCGCCTAAATTTGACGATGAATCGGGTCAAAATCGGGTGAAGAAGAATAAGATTCAGGTCAAAATCGGGTTAAAATTTGGCGATGAATCGGGTTAAAATGTCGCAAAAGGCTTCGGCGAAGAAACCGGTCATACTCCCGCCGCCTAAATTTGACGATGAATCGGGTCAAAATCGGGTGAAGAAGAATAAGATTCGGGTCAAAATCGGGTTAAAATTTGGTTAAATTTAAATTAAATCAAACCGGGTTATGTGGTACCGGTTTATTGGCCGGTTCAATTGGAGGCGTAGTTTTAAGGATGAATCTGAAAGTACATGTTGCAATTGTGAGAATTATCTAAGTTTATGGTGGAATTTTCAGGGGCAAAAAGGTTGGGAGGAAAAGCTGAGAATGCAACTAGTTTATGGCTATAAAATCAGCCAACCCTCTTTGTATCCACTGTTTGTTTTTTTGAAAAATCGTTTACACCAGAAGTTTTTTTTTTTTAAAGAGAGTCCAATTTACTTAACTACATCAATCCATCAAGATTTGTATCATTATCGGCTAGCTCTCCATTAAAAGAAACTCTATTGTTAAAAATCATCTCTCAGTATAATGATCTAACCACAGTAACGCAACGAATGTGGCTACGTAATGATTAAGTTCACAAAACACGTTTGCAAGCGTTGATAGCATTAGGCATTAGCGGTAGTGCTTGAAAAGTAAATTAACAAAATAGATCGTATATACAAGTTTTAAATACAATTTTTCTTTCAAATATGTATCGTTTAATCATAATTTTTTTTTATGCCTAACGTTACTACATACTATTGCAAACACTTGTAATTTTTTGTTTTTGTTTACAACATTATAAAAACTTGTTTTATGACTTATTTCAAATAGCTACAATCGCGATCGTACACAACTATAGCATTTATAAACTATGGCGGCTAAATCAATCAATTTGATCTATATCTCAATTTGTTTAAATACCACTAACAATTTGTTAATCAAAATCATATGTGGCTACTTGAAACTGTCTACGGCTCTACGCCATTAAAAAAACTACAGTTTCTTTTTGTTAATGTATAATTTTATTAACATGTCATTTTTCTAACGTTTCTTCTGGCATTATTGTAAACCTTGATTTTTGTTTTCGAGATTAAATCAAACTTTGGATCTTAGTACAAGAGATCTGATCATCTTAACATGACAGCTCTTTCCACACTTGGTGTCTTAGCACAGACAAGTGAGCCCATGAGTTAGCACCAATTTCTTGTTTTTTTTTTTTACTTGTATATTAGTTTGATTAATTTTTAATAAAGTGTAGGCACTTATTTATTACTATCGATGTAATAAGAATATCTGCTACGTACAGATCTAGAAGATGAACTAAAATAACATTGTAATGCAATCGTAATGATTCACCCCCAACTGGCCGTTCAATTAAATATTTTTCTCAACCTTGGTTTTTGTTAAAAATTTGGTGAAATCAATTAACAACGACATTAATATCATTGTATAATGGTATTTTCAATTAACACACTTCCTCTTTGTCAAAAAGGTAGACGATATTCCTGCACACGATAAAATATTTAGCTAGCCAAGACCTTTTTCTGCTTTTGATCATTTGTATTAGAAGTTCATAGTTTCACATTGATCATTTCTTGGTGCAGAGAGGGACATTATATATGAGAGATGTCAGAGTCTTCTTTTCTAGCTCCTCCTGATTTCAACTGCAGAAAACCCAAAAGGGAAAAGACATTACTTCTCCACACTACAGCCAAATCAGACATGCGTTTGAAATCATAGAGGGCAATGAGGATGCCTTGGACAGATCTGGCTGAATCATCAAAGAATATAAAGAAGTCATGAGTAAAACTTTGATTAGTAACTATCGAAGACCTCTCCTACCTCTAAAGTAACTATAAATAGCTCCATTAAAACCAACAGGGAAGGATGTAGATGTAATATTGTAATGCATGTTAGAGCATATATATATGAAGGCAGTCCAAAATAAAGTCTCCCTCTTGTAGTAGTATTTTAATGTCTTAGCTATATCAACCTTAACGAGAGAAACTTCCCATGTGGAAACACCCACTCCTCCAACATCACTAATTAGCATCTAACTCAATTTTTAATCACCATTCAAGACTTTGTTTTGTTATAATTATCTTTCCATGTTCTACAGTCTACGTACACTAATGAATCTTTCTGTTTTAACATGTTTTACATTGCTTGTTTGGTTGTTCCGCTATTACCATTGCAATTAATGATATGTTTCACAGTTTCATATAGATAACTTATATACGCAACTATGCATATTTTCATGTAATAAAATGACTTTTTTATTCTTAAAAATTTATCGCTTCGTAGTAAAGTCTTAATTAAGCTTTTCAATCTTCTCTGATAAACAACTACTTTAACTTATTTAAGTAATTAGGGCGGGAGAGTTTTTTTACTTTTGTCCTTGGAAGAGTACGGAAGAAGCCACTAATCTACCCTTGATTTAAGGGGACAAACAAATCATTAAAAGGAGATTATGTTTGTTGATTTTAGATTATACCCAAAGCATTATCCAATTTTTTTTTAAAAAAAAAAACAGTTACTTTAATTGACTTTTAGGCTGTATTGGTCGTAGACTTGTAGATAGTAGTAGATACTATGAAACTGAAGCTAATCCACTCACCATTCCGTCGGTTCTTCTACCTTTTTAACTTCAAATTATTTCACATGGCCTGCCTACAGTATACATTTATCTAAGACCATATATGCGTTATATGATTATGATAAGAATGGAGCTCGTAAATAGTATATCAGATAAAGTTGGATGAAAAAAATAGTTGATCGGTAAAATAATATTATACTTCATTAATTTGAAACATGTTATAAAATTAGTACATTATATTGAGGACAAGCTAGAGTTACCCTTTCCTTTTAGTATTCTACTTAGACTTTTTAGTACATTATATTGAGGACTCTTCTCTTCGTATGAATCATATGTTACATTTTATATACAGTTTGATAAAACTATTTGTTTTACATAATCTTAAAAAGTTATTAATTCTTACGATTTCTATGTTCTCTTTCGATTCCGTATGCACGAGAGTAGATTTATCCAACAATTTTCAAGTATTTTAAGTTATCTCTTGTGATTTCGTCTGTTTTTTACCATGATGAGTGATGAAAGCATCAGCCACGCCACCAATGATCTCAAACATTATTTTTGTATTATAGTTACATCTGCCAATTGTCAACACTCAACAGTAACATCAGTGTATTGTTCTGCAATGTCATCTCAAATGTCTTTTGCGAATTCAAAGTACGAGATATCTCTTTGTAGATCAGGACCATTGGTGTTCTTGATTCAAGACACTAAAAACAACTTCATTGTACACCAATCCTCAAATTTTGGAAATTTAGACACAAAGTTAGGACAATCAACCTGTCAGTAAATCTTAAATTTTTATATGTTAAATTAATTTAAAGCAAATCACAGCCGTCCCTCAGAGAGAGAAGGAGTGAGAGCCACCGTTGGAAAATCACTCTTTGGTGAGTGAAAAATGTCAAAAATAACAGAACCAGTAGGTAAGGGTCCCTCCACGTGTGCACATGCGCTTCGGTGGACGCGTGCATGCAAGAGTGTTGCCACCTTAACGACGTCGTAGAATGTGTGTTTAAGGCACAAAAACATTTTAATCAAAGAAAATTAGACAGATGGTGACGACAATGAGATGGTGGGCGTGTAGAGTTCGGAGAATGATTGTTGAGATTCCCGTAAATTACGGAGGTCCATTGGAAACAAATTCCCACACCAGAAGATCCATGTTCGATGTATTTTGTTGGAGGAAAAAAGCTAATTTTAATATCAAAAATATTTCTTCTATAGTTATATATATCTTTTATACAATCAACTTCTATATTCATGTACATCTATCAATATCATTATCATCCATGTGGATTTAAATGTCCAATATAAATGAATTATTATTGTTACTTTTTTTTTCTTTTTTGTCAACAATTATTATTGTTTCTTTTTTCTTTTTCAAAACCAGGCTTTCCCAAAGTTTGCGGATCGCCACGTTTTGACCACTAAAACCATTGATGTTATTTGTTGTATGTGTATAAAAAGTTATGGCACAGTTAATGTGGTGACCATGCTTTTCATATTTGATACCTAGTTGTGAATGTATCACTATTAGCACTAAAAAAAAAGATGAAATAATTCACCGTACGTATAACCAGGGTGTGCAGTGCAATGAATCGTAAAGTTCTCAAATTTAACTTTACGTATGCAGATTATTGATCTATAGTATATAGGATTCACAGATTCACTCATTTTTCGACAATAATGAAATTGAATATTGCTTGTTATAACTGAACTGATTACATTAACAAATTACGCACTCCCAATCGTTAGAACCATCTATTATTTTCGGCTACATTCAGAGCCGGTCCAATGTTATCAAAGACTTTACTCAAAATTTAAAAAATCTGCTATCAGTTTTAAATGTTATAAAGTATAAACTTATAAACGAAAAGAACGTGAGAAATTCAATGGTAACGATAAAAAAAATGTAAGTCATCAACAACAAACAGAAAGAAAAAAAAACTTTTCGGTCAAAAAACCTCATCATTTTAATAACACTTTAAGATTTTTAAAAAAAATTCTAACTTTCATTAACCTATAATTAAAATTCTAGCTACATATCTTTTTTATAACCTCAGGTGAGGTGATTAAGTGGTCCGGATCACGGTAAGTATATAGATTATAAACTTCTATCGAGGACTTAATCTACAATATTGGAGAACCACAACTTTTTAATATATATATATATATACTTAACGTTCTTTAACATTTAAATTTCAAAACTTAGATAGACTTTTTAGTTATTATGTTCTAACTAAGTAATGACACCAATTCAAAGATAATCTAGATTATTTAGCGTGCTTATATAGGCCTTTATTTGCTTGGAGGTCTTATGCGGCTACAGCGCTGATTGATAAGGTTGTCAGATAAAGGATTACATATTAAATCAGATATGTGAACATACATTACATACATATATATACGATGCGAGATCATTATAAATCACGGAGTGTGAATTTTTTTTAAAAAAAAACTCCAAATGAAGTGAGATCATTATATATCACGGATTGTGAAGTTACGCAGTTGACAAAAACAAAAGAAGATACGCACAAAATGTTATATATATAATCCGCATAATTGCAAGACTTAAAACATCAAAACGTATATCATCACAAATTTTCGGCGGAAACAAATAATAATGGACAAAAGTTTCCTAAATTATAGGGTAATACAAAAGGGTACGTGGGCCATTCGTAGCATGTGCATGCATGTGCTTCTCCTATCTCCTATTGCCCCCACCATTTTCCCTCTCCTTTTGAAACAATTAAAATGGACCCTTTCCTTCTCCTTTCTCTCTCCCTTACCTCTCTGTCTCTTTCCCTCTCTCGTCGAATTCACGAATTCGTGAGGTGACAGCAGATTTGTTCTTAGCAATCTTTGACGACACTCGAAGGAAAAATTTCTTTAAAAAGGTATGTGTTCATGTCTCTTTTGGTTATGATAAGGAACCCTCGACGGATAATAACCAGTTTGGTTATGATTTGATGTATATTACATGTATCCCTTTGATGTATAAAGGCATCATGGTGTATTACTTAATTTCTAAGAATTAACTTACTTTTTCTTGAAGAGAATGATACATAATTGAGTATATTTCTACTTGATTAGGATTAATTAGGATGCAGCCTACGAGCTCAATGAATGAAGAATTCCTAAAGAAATGGCAAATGGGTCTTCAGATATTCCGTCCTTCGATAGACAACACGAGTGTCCACGAGAGAAAGAAAGCAATAAAGCTCTCTGCAGACGTTGCAATGGCTTCTCTCAGAAAAGGAACAACTTGTTGGAGCCGAGCCCTAATCGAAAAAACCGCCACCGAGGACAATTTTCTCGTACGTCAGATGCTTTCTGGTATCAAAGCGGAATCGCTAATCAACAAGAAGTTGCCTAAAAAGATTGTGTGTCATAGGAAGATCGTGAGGCGAAGCAAGAAGATCTTGAGGAGGAAATCGAAATCAGCGAGCGAGGAGGCCGCAGCAAAAGCTAAGAGACTCGTTAAGAGACGGACTCAAGGATTAAGAAACGTTGTCCCCGGTGGTGAGTTGATGAGCAATGACGTCTTGTTGCTACAAGAAACCTTAGATTACATTGTGTCGCTTCAAACGCAAGTAAATGTTATGAGAAGTATTGTTGATGCTGCCGAGGCCGAAATTGAGAGGTAAATGGTTTTTTTTTTTTTTTGATGCGGGGATTAATTGCGAAAGCATGATCTTGATCGGATCTCGTTGTTGTTCATTAGAACCGTATGTTGTTCGGACAATTGCGAGGATGGAGAGATTATAGTAAGCCATTTTGTACATAAGGAATTTTATACAATGCTTATAGAAAGTTTCTGCTACTTAATGGTGATTTTGATTGGAACATTTGTTGGCAATTTTGTTTTGTTTATTGAATTTAGTTAATGTTATCGAATTTTAAGATATTTTTAACGCTTCGATTGCTTTTCTTGGCAAGTTTTTTTATTTGAAAGAAAAAAAAAAGACATATGTTAATTAATATTATAATAGGTCATACGATATATGGGAAATACATTATATAGATACGTAAAAATATCTGGTTCAGTTGTATTAGTTAATATACAACTCACTCATATGATTATTGGAAATGATATTAGCTCATTTGACATGTCAACCCAAGAAAAATGATACTAGCTCATGTGAGTTTTTGTTTTTTGGTTTTCAAATTTTCAATGTTAATTAGCTCATATGAGTTGTCCAATATATATTTTGACTCTTTTCTTATGTGTTTTCTGGTTAAAGATTTATTTTGAAAAGGATAGTAGAACCGAACAAACAACAAGACAGCACGTGTAAAAATCAGTTCTTTTTCATATATACTCCATGTTCCATCAATCAGCATCATTTAGTATTTAGCTAAGGAAGAAGACGCTTAATGGCAACGGAAAAAAAAAAAATAGTACATAGTCACGTTCAATTTCTTCCTAGCCAAATTAATCAACACCTTTCATATATTGTCTCATGAGAACCATGCCTGCACCGATGGTATTTATCCATTTATATGTGCATCTATGCATATAGTTAATGAATCTCAGTTAGATCTACATATTCAGTTTTGTTTATTCCAAATTTCTTATTTGCCACATACTTTTTATTTTAGATCATGTAACAAAGGGGTATATTTCGGGTTTTTTTCTCCGCATAAACTATAAACACATATTTATAACTTATAAGAATAATTAAACTTTATGAGTTCTAAACTGAGAGATCTATTTACAGCAATCCCAATAGTTTTTCTGTAACAGCTAGCTTGCCAACATTTTCATTGGAGATTATTATAGAAACAAAAAAGAAATCCATATCATATTACAGATTTTGAGAAACTTGATTATGTCTTGTTAGGCCCAGCCCAGTTACTTATTAATTGGACTCTTAAATGGTTTGTTTAACAGTTGGACTCTTGTTAACCAGTCCAATTTAAAATAAATAAAAGAAGTGAATGAAATAGAGACAACACGGCGTTGCTTTTCATTTTATCGTAAAACGACATGTAGTTTTCCCTTTGTAATGTTTGACTCTTGAGGAATTGTGAGTTGACTTATGTGACTTTCTTTTTGGTTGTATAATTGTTGAGCAGCAAGGAAATTATTAAGTAGAACTGACTTTCAGTTTTAAAGGTTAGTCAAACATTAGGAAAAAGTTGTCTCAAACTATTTCTGGAGAACTCTCTTAAGAATTTTAAAGTCACACATAAATTGAATGTTATAACTTATAAGAAATCAAGTCATAATTCTCATACATATTAAAGTGTTACAAAAAAAAAAAAATTATCCATATATGCAGCATTTATACATATAAATAAACGGTTTTGAGTATACGATAATTCTAGCATATGGTCCAAGCTAGAATCAAGAATCACTTTCACAAAAACATGTATCTCACTAAAATAGAAAGAGACATATGTGGTAAATATTTTTTCTTACTATCTTTTCTTGAAGACTTAACCCTATTATACTCTCCTTCTTCTTCTTTTTTGGTCTCAAAATTGGGATGAATTAACTTTGCACATAAACCAATGTTATTAACGTTATAAAACTATAGTATGTAAGTTGTCACGCAATAAAGACTAAGTGACTAGTGGGCATGTAATCCAACTGCTTCCATGCCCGTTATTAATTCACCCATTAATGCAAAACTTTAGCCATTCAACATTTAAACATAAATACGTATATACATACATATGTATAACATATCGCACAAGAATCAACATGTCACTCTTTTGTCGTATGAAGAATTGCCTCAATTCAATGCAACTGTCTTACCACCACACCCACTTCTTATCTAATGCTCCAGAAAAAAAGAAAGAAAGAAACAACCAAATAAACAAAGAGAAAATCATTCCTTCAAGATTCATAGAATAATGGTTTGTATCTCAATTGCAAATTATATGATTAATTATTTTATTGTAAAAAGAAAATTCATATTAGACATAACAAATTGTATGATTAACAGTTTCACTGAACACATGTAGTATTGATGGCCAACTTTAGTCTGAACTTTAACCTAACAAAATCAAGTTCAGGATTTTTATCTGAAGAAATTTGCCTACGAAAAATAATTATCGCAAATTTGAATTGTACTCACCAGTTAAAATAGTCACATAAGAATTTTTACGGTTTCTTCAACAATCTTTAGCTTTCACATGACCAAACAAGAATCATGCAAATGGTTTGAATATTTGGCAATTTTATTTTCTATCTTCAACTCACTTATTTATGATATTTAATTGAGTCGTTTTCTTGTTAGATGGAAAAGCTTAAATCGACAATTAATTGTTGGGTCTAATATTTAAGAACTGAAAAAGATTTGCCAAAAAATACAAGACGCACCAAATGTTCTCAATTGCTATGTCTAAAAATATATGTATCTCAACACCACATTTCTACAATGATTCATCCTTTTGCACTTATGACGACTAACACAAAAAAACAATTGAAAGGAAAACTAAATTTGAAAAGGAAAAAATATAGAAACTAGACATTAGTTGAAGAAGAAGAATGGACAACCTTGTTTTGTCTCCCTGCAAGCCAAAGCATAGTCCTCCTAGCAAAAGATGGTGTTTTAGTCTCCAAAGATTCCGAGTTTTCGCACTTTTGATTTTCTTCTTCGCAACCACTTTCGATCTTCGCATCGGGAGGATTCCGCTGGTTCGATAACCTGAAAGAGAATGCTCTTCCCGAAGACGACGAAACCAATGAACTATCCTCTTTTCCTTGAACTTTACTATGCTTCTCCTTCTTCCCCCTTAGCCAAATTTTCGATACCGAAAAGCTCTCTCTTTCTACTACATTCTTCTCGGTCGCTTCTTCTGCGATCCTCATCGATCCGCTCCCATTGAATTTTAATCTCCCTGTTGGATCAAACCCGCATTCGGACATAGCGGTCCTATGACCGGGCAAGCCACGGTTCTTGCTTGATTGCTTCTTAGTTGAAACGTGAACTTTAAGAGCCGTTTCTTCATCCATTATATACTCATATGATCCCATTGAAAAACATCTCCTTTCATCTAAACTACTACTATTACCAATGTTGTTGTTGCTACTAGTTCCTTCACCAATATCTATATTCCTAAATTTCCCAAGCTTAACTGCAAAAGGAACAACCTTTCCAACCGAACCACCCAATTCACCATCCGGGTATTGATCTCCATGACCCGAATCTACCCGAGTTGATCCAAGATCATTGTTTCCGACAAAACCAAGATGAGAATTGGAATGTGAATGAGCATTAGACACATCATTATCATCACTTGCAGCCACACAAGCTGCACTGTCTCTATCTCCTCCAATCTCTCTGGAGCTATGATCACTCGCAGACTCAAGAACAAGGAGGAAAGAAGAACGAGGATCTTGGTGAGAAGAGAGATCAGAGAGGAGACTAGATCTACACAAAGGACAAGTTGAGTGAGAGAGAAGCCAAGTATCGATACAATCCATGTGAAAGGCGTGGCTGCATTTAGGTAAAAGCCTGAGCTTGTCCTCTGTTTCGAACTCACAAAGACAAACAGCACAATCAAAAGGATAGTTCTTGAGACCGATTATGGACTTGTAATGGAAAACTGGTAACGTGTCGATGAAGGATTGGTCAACTCCAGAATCATGGAGATGAAAAAGCTGTTGAAGCTGGCCTTGAAGAGCAGTAACGTTGTCGAAGTAATCTTCTCTGTCTCTGCTTGATGGTGTGAGAAGGAATCTGACTAAGAGATGAAGAAGACCAGAGATGAAGAAGATGATTGAGAGGATTATGATTATGAGAAGAATACTTGGACTGATTTTGCTGTTTAGATCGAAGTTTGCGTTGTTGGATCGGAGAGATAACGGTGGTTCTTGTGGTGGTGGTCGTGGAAGTGATGAAGGAGAGAGGAAATTCTGACTTGTTGTTTTGATTTCTGGAAAAACCCATTTCATATTTTCCCGAGAAAATTTCATGGGTTTGAGAGAGGAAGGAAAAGGAACAGGAAGACTCAAGCTTTGTTGTTGTTGGTTTCAGACATGGAAGCTCTAAGAACAGAGAGATAGAGAGATAAAGAAAGAGAAAGATTGCTCTGTTTTGTTTTTTCAAGATTTGGTATGAAAGAAGAAAGAGATAGAGAGAGTGATGAATAAGAGAATTACAGGTTGGACCATTGATGATGACAGAAGAGAAAATTTCATTTAAGATTCAACTGTTACACCAAGAAGAGTTTGCTTCTTGAATCTGCAGATTTTACGAAATTTTTTAAATATGTCAAAATAAATTAATTGGAAAAATAAAATAAATTAATGGGATTGGATCTGATTAGAAACCTCAATACATGCAAAGTCAATCAAATTAGTTTAAACGAAGAAACAAATCAGAGAATTAGCGAAGTTAATTAATTGGTTTTATGTGAATAATATATTGTGATCTCACCAAATCCTATGCTCTCTCATTTAAATCAACGAGACAAAGAACACCACCACTACTTCACAATCCACAAGATTAAGAAATAATATCGTATTTATTGTGTATATTAAATTTGTATTTTCATAAAATAATAATTCATCATTTGTCCGCACACGAAAATTAAAGAGATAAAATGAAAATATCATGAAAAGAACATGACTCCTAATTTTGAGCTAGACAACCAAATCCCGAACTATTATTTTCATTTCAAGATGTTTTAATTATATGTTATTGCATTCAATTTATTTGTCTTTCTTTTTGATGTATAAATATTTTTTCTGCTTTCGTGTTATGGTGTAATTTAATTAGGTAGGGTTCAAATAATACGAGT